GACAAGATCAAAGCAAGAAGAGTTTAAAAACATTCCTGTGTACCACTTTGTTATCTACAGTATCCCAAAGGATCCAAATTTGAACAAATTTTGACAGAAAGTCAATGGAAATAAGTATTTTATGGCAAAATATGATTTACATAAAATATACACCATATACAAGTATGTCCCCTATAAACAGTGATAAACTTTATAAATTTTACAATTTAATCTTATTTGACTTCAAAACCAATTTTTTTATTTTAATGATTTATTTTTGTTCAAATGAAGGGAACTATGTCTTTTTTATTAAGAAGTACAATAAAACACATGGTAATAGTAAAACAACACTTTGTAGCAATAATTGCAGATACGAGGGCTGTTCAATAAATAATGTCCTGAACTATATAACATACATTACAGATATCATATGACATAAAACTTGACTTTCTCTCATTATTTAATCTTTCATGAATTTATAATAGTTTATGTGACCACTTTTCATCACATAGTTTCAACGTGAACCAAACAAAATGGATAGTGCATTATAAGTTTATGGAAAGAATCCTACTGTGAAAATAAAAGCTTCATTATAGCTGCCGTAAAACTTTTTAAATATTACAATATTTAAGCAATTAATTCTCATATAAAAAAAAAATGATAATTTGACATAAAAAGAGCAGAATTACTGTTTTAAAAATATTTTCTTCAATATCCAGATATTTTTTATATCATTAAAATATTCATAAATTAACATAATTAATGTTTATTTTCAATTTTTGATATTTTCAGATTCCAAAAAATGCATACTTTTGAAATCATCAAAACATAACCTTTTTAATAATAAAAAATATTTTTGATACAAGCAAAAAATGAATTTTGATACTATAATTTAAAATCAATCATATTTACTGCAGATTTATATGTAATTTTCTTAAAAATTAGTTATTTTGTTCACAATCGGAGAGAAGTTTAATACAAGGTTAGCTTTTTGCAAAAAAAAAAAAGGCTAGAGGAAGCGTCAGGAATCCATTACATGGAATTTCTTACAGAAAGCATGCCCTGAAGAGTTAAGGGGTTTTGTAAAGAAAGTTAATGATTTTTCACATTAACTATTCGCTAGATCTTCCACCTTTTGTGTTCTATTAAATGTAATAAACTTGCAAAAAACACCTTTGAAAGAAAAGTTAAATTCTTCTGCCATTTTCCAGTATACTAAGGGTCATACCCAAAAATTTTAAAAACAATCAGAAATTGGATAAAAAATGTTACGGACATGTATTTTACTTAAAAGAGATAAATTAGTAAAATCATGAAGACTAAATCATTCAAAAGCGTCTTTTGCTTCTTTCTGAGCACCGAGGACATTATTTATTGAACAGCCCTCGTATGTTAAAAAAAGATTAATATTTAGATGTGTAACACAGTTAAAAGTGTCTAAGTTGTATATGGTGAAGCCAATCTCTTATATTTACATTCGCTGTGTTTTTCTACTAAGGCAAGAGTGAAATCGATTTGAAAACCATCACAACAAGATCATGAAAAATTCTATCAAAAAGGATATACGATTATAAAAGAATAAAATGAAGTAGAAATTTAAATATTGAGTATATTTTTGGTGCTTTTAGACAATGAAAATGTAAATATAAGGAATGTTTTTAAGTTTAGTGTGAATTATTGGTGTGTAAATCACACAGACTTGCACAAAGGCATATTTGGGTAAACCCTTTAGCTCAGTTGGTAGTGTTGGAGTTTAAATCTGAGAGTGGTTGGTTCAAGCCTCAGTGTGGACATGCAACCTCTATCATGAGTCTCAGTTGCTAGATTTTCCAGTGTAATTAATCTCATTGACAAGAAAAGAGAGGGGGAAAGTATGTGTAACAGACTTAAACGTGGCTATAATATGTTGTACATGTATATAGTGAAGCCACATATGGCACCATTGGAAAACAAATTAAGATGGATTTGGTTGTGGTTGAATGTTTAAGAGAATATGCATATTCATTAAAATTTTGGCCAATGCGAGTAAAGCGTAGTTGGATAATGAACTTTGATTTGACCTTTTAATACCCAATCACAGTGTACGAAATATTTCTTGTCTACTGCTGATGTAAATTGTTGATATCAAATGGAAACAAAACTTGTCATAGACTGAAAATGATGTCACAATAGAGAGGGGGGGGGCAGCCACAGGTAGGACTCTGGAGACTCTGGACCGAGGCTATAGGACAAGCAAAGTTCTCTTGAAGCTATCGCATTTCCCCTGAGGTGTATTAATCCTTTCACATTACACCGGCGCGGTTTTTCACGTGCACAACCGTGTTTACACCGCGGCGGGGCCAGCTATCATGTAAATTATAAGAATTTAGATGTTTTTACCTGTATAGTCTTGTCGATTTTTAATCGTGTCGGAAGGGGGGGGGGGGGTTAGCCATTTAAGAGTATGACCACATTAATATTATGAATACCATTAGATGTATTTTTTTTTTAAAATTCATTTTTAAGTTTTATCAAATTCTTTTATAAAAATTATATACCAATGGTCACTCAAAATTGATTAATTCTCAAACGCGTCTGTTGACAGTCATATTGGATGAAATATAGTAGTATAATTTATCAAATATATTTACTTATAAAATCAATAATCTCACCACAAATGATCTTCAAATTGCTAAATAAGTAAAATTAATTTTAGTATTTAAAGAATGCCATAAGGAATATACAATTTAATCCACTGTTCACGATTGCGTGCAGTTGGAGTTACATGTAGCTATGCGTTTATTTATCTGCGAGGTTCTATCACAGCCATTGGTTTCATTTTAAAAAATGCCTTTTATACAATGCTCATATCTGTTAAAAATAAAAGCATGAAAAACGATGATACATGTACATAGAGATACATAATAACAATCAAAATTTAAAAAAAAAAAAACATGTGTACATGTGGGAATATGTTGCTCAATTATTATGCGCTATACTAGTATTGTAAGACTATGAACTAGATATCGACATGATTTTTTATTTTATTATTTTTTTTTGGGGGGGGGGGTATAAGTAATTCTATTCAGAATATCAATATTTCATAGCTAGTATTTTACTGTAGTTATATTTTCTGCTCTTTTCGAAATTATTAAAGTAATGTCTATGTAAATGATGAACAAATTTCACGTATCGCCGATCGGAAAGGCTGACTAATTAAGCCGTTTAAATTAAATAATTTGAACACACAGCACAGAAATTCTGAAATTATTTTAATCAGCAAGTTGTCATGAAAATAGTTCAAGTTTTCAGGTGTCTGTGTAACTGATCTATACCCTTAACGAGATACCAACAATACCTTCACATTACATAATCTTACATCATGAAGAAACAGAAACAATTTTGTGCATTTGATTTATCCGCGCCTGTCAACTCGACTTTAATTTGATAAAGTTACTGTTATATTTATATATATATAGCTAGTGGGTTAACCTTTTAGCTCAGTCGGTAGAGCTGTGGGTTGTAAATATATAACATAAAATCAAAAAAATTCAAAATTAAAAAATTCTTATTTGTGATCTACTTATAATATTCATAAATTAGTATTACACCATTTTTTTAAAACCTGCCAGGCTACAAAATGTATACAGGAATCACTTACCCTATTTTAACCTTCTCAATCACTGAATCAGTCAATGTTTTTTTGTTGGTAAACATACAAGTGTCATCAACAGGTCTAGAAATACTACAGTGCTGTGACAACTTTGTTTTTCAGTTCATTAAATCAGAGAAATTAATTAAAAGATCTTAAACTTGAGAAAAATGGTAGCAAAGTCAGTTTAAATGCTATCATACAACATTTTGCATATCATTAAAAAGTACACATGTCATGGTTGTTATCGTTTGATCATTTTATCCAGTTTATTGTCCGATTTATAACCTTCAGGATGCATATATTGCAATGACAACACGATCATGAAATAGCAAATACAAATTTATATCAGGGACATGCATGTTTCTAACCTTTTCATACTCACGCATTTAAGTCCCTCTTCTTTTATGATTGTTACACAATTGCAAAATGCTCACGTTTTCAGTCAATCCGTTCTGTTTTTTCAACCTGAGGGGGATTGGGGATGTAAATAAATCGGCAATCCAGGTCATGACATTCAAACGACAATATATTTTATTTCTAGGATTATAAGAGTAAATATGAGTTTTATACTGGTTCTCGCTGAAAACTGACCAGACACTTAATTTAAAAATAGTTCACCCCCCCCCCCCCAACACAAAGATATACATTTTTAAGAAATGAAATATTTGTCAATTAAATATCTATTCATTTAAAATAAAAAAAAAATTAATTTGACATACCAAAATTGAAATTATTTGTCTTCAATATGGGTATTTTTTATATCATTAAAATATGCATAAATTAACATGGTTAATGTTTATTTTAGCTGAGGTGGATTCCAAAAAATGCATACTTTTGAAATCATCAAAACATAACCTTTTTAATAATAAAAAATATTTTTGATACAAGCAAAAAAAGAATTTCGATACTATACCAGAGATGTTAGTATATATGCCCATTTCATTGTCTATCACTGAATGTTTTGATTATATACAGATATAAACCTTTTTGATCGCAATATTGTATATATTAAAATAAAAATTTACATTTAAAAAAATATCTTATTATCCCGGTCTTGCAACAAATAAATCATATTGTTTGTGTACACTTGTCTGTGAGTGAGTTAATTCTATGCAAAACAGAAGTGATGCAACTAATTTGCATCAGGATTGATATCTAATGATGCCTTAATTGATTTATAGATATTATCTTTGAGAGGGTATGCTCTGCCTTGTCGTGTCCGTGTTTTCATAAACCTCAAATACACCCATACTTGTTCCCAATAGGCACAGTGTATTATATTTTATTTTCAAATAATAAAACAAGAAAACAAGAAAACAAAACATCATCAAACTAAGTAAAAGAATTTAATAGTAAATGGAAAAAAAAAAACAACAACAATACAAGAAAAAAGAAAGACATCAGTTTATTTGTCTTTACTATTTAATAGTGTACTAACTGCAAAATGAAATAGTTCTTTATTTGCATTTTTTAGCTTTAAAATGTCCAAAGAATCATTAGGGATCTGTATTCTTCTATCTACTTCTTCTGAGGGAGCATCATGGGTATCCATAATCTACATAAAAAAAAAAAAATACATAATTGTACTTCATTTTGGAATGCAAATTCATCAGTTTTAATTTATAACTTAAACCATCCTCTCCAGTCAATCAATGGATCCACTCCCTTGACCACTTTGTCAGAATTAAACAAGGTTATAGAGTTTGAGAAGCTAATCAAAAGGATTGTTTTATGTAGGTGAAAGAAACTAATTATATAAACAGAAAACATGTCAGGTTTAGTTCTAATGAAAATGACTTTACTGTCTTTACTCTTTACCATTAAATGACCCAGTTAAAGGTTATGTTGAATTTATTTCGAACTTCCAAATATAGTCTCACATTCTTTGTTTAATTTACACACTATGATTGATTGGTCAATAGCAGAGGTCAGTAGAGTTCAAAATTTGTAATATAACTTAATGGCGCTATAGTAAACCTCGTCAAACTTTGCCTATTCCGTCAAGTTTTCTGTACAGAGCAGATCTGAAACCCTTGTCTTAATTGGGAAAATGAGCTTTTACACTACGAGTAAAAAGTTAACACACACCCTCACTCATCAGTGAATGATCAGCAATAAAAAATAAATGTACTATTAAATTTAATTTCATTTACAAAAATGCTGATTCATTAAAAAAAAATATAACAAAAACTTTTTTCCTCAGTCTCTCATTACAAAAGAAACTTCTGTTCATTTAATTTACTTCACAACATGTTCTAATAATTAAAAAGCACCAAAAATACTTATAAGTAAGTAAGTAAGTAAATACATATCCCAGCAAGTGTGTGGGTCAGATAAATCAAGTATAATCTTCAGTGACCTACAGAGTAGGTCCCTTTCTGTCACAACCTCTTTCAGCAAACATGGTTCAATAAGAAGAATAAAGATTTTCTGATCCATAAACAGCTTCTATACATCATGCACTAAAGGAGTTTATTGAGAAATACTATCAAATAATATTATTCCCCTACAACAAAATTGAACTTCCTGAAAAGGAGATTGTATGAGAATTATTACCTCTGTTTCCTTTGATCTGTATTTTAGATCCATAAGAATTTCTGAGTTGGGGTTTAAAATGTCTTCTTCTTCCTGTAAAAAGATAAGGATCATATCTGATTTCAGCTCATGCACTTGTAACCTCAGAACTCATAAAAAAAATCTACTCCACATACCTAACGTAGGGTTTGCTAATATGTACATGTATTAGTATTTTACGAGTAAAATTTAGTGCGATTTCAAGCTAAAATCTCCATTATAAATTCTGATTCCCTACTGCACTCTCAAGCTGATCTGAACAAACTAAAATCTAAAATACATGTACTTGAAGGAGCATGCAAATTAATATGTCATTGTTATAATATGTTATTGATCATGGATTTGCTGTTGACTTGGGAAAAAAATTTCGAAGAAGAGTTTACACTATACGCCTATATTAAATCACAGCTTGCTAAGATTTTTTCCCAAGCATTGATATTACAACAAGCAAAAAAATCAGTAGCTTTGTCAAGATTTTTATTCTAAACACAAATAACAAACAATAATAAAACTTCCTGAATTCGCAGTGTTGCATGCTATACAATTGTATCTTACCTCTGGTTCAGTGTTGGTGAGGTGGACATTCAGTGTGGCCTCACTACCCTCCTCCTGGGCATCAGAATGGAACACTCTCTGGAATGTCCGGAGGGGAAGGGTACACTTAATGTCGGGGTTCACAATTCCAGGAGGGACCATGGTCAGTAATGTGTTTGTCACAGGACCTGTATGTAAATCATACATGCATGTATATCAAACATACTTTCAGATAAAAGTTACACAAGATGTACATGCATGACGAATGCATATTTTAATTTTTTCCACAATTATTTCCTTATTAAATGATCAGCAAATAATTGCTATCATATTTTTGTAACTGTATCTGTAAATACTCCTGTGAACTGTACAGGTAAATCATGACATCATGCTTCTTAAAAAACTGAGTGAAGAATGTTCCTTTTACCTTTGTGTTCTATTGTTCTCATACACTGTCCACTAAATATATCCCAGATTTTGACTTTGTTGTCATTTGAACCCGATATCAGCTGACATCCATCCATTGTTATACACAGACAACCCACTTGTTTTCTACCAGAAAAACAATATACAGTTACAACTGAAATTGTAATGAAACAATTTTAGAATCATAAGGGATTAAAATACATGTACTAAAAAAAAACAAAAAAAAAAAACAAACAACAAGAGTAGATGAGCTGAGTGATGATTAATAGCTTTTATTCTACGGGACATTTAAATACTGAAATTTTCTTGTATTTAAGGTCTTCCGTTTCCAACGGAAGACCTTCTACTGATTCTGTTGGTAAAGATTATTATTCTTTTTTTTCTTCTGCTTCCTAGACCACAACTTTGAGGCCTCATATCTCACTCATTACTCAACGGATTTCGCTCAAATTTTCAGAGGTTATAGACGTTTATAAACTCTATCTGAATGCTGACTAAAATTTCAAAAAGTCACTTCCGGTTTTGAGTTATTGCCCTTTAAACGAAAATTTATAGGCTTTCGTTTCCAGACAAAGGCTCCGAGACGGCTAAAGCTGGAGCAGAAATTCTACTGATTTTAGATAATAGAAGGATTGAAGTTGTGCACATCGGTTTTTGTTTTTCGATTTCTCTATTCAAAATGGCGCAATATAGGGGTCAAAAATTAGAACGCTTAAAAGAACTAAAAATTACTCATATTTTGCTTTTATCTTCTAAACTAAAAATATTTTGTTAAAGTATATAGAACATAATTTGTGCAGAATTAGAAGATCTTTCAAATAATATCTCTGAAAAAGGGCTGACCCCTAAATTAAGGGGTCTAGAGGGGCCAAAAGTTTTTTCAAAACATCTCAAAAAGTATTGAGAATTTGTTATACATCAAAGAAGCAAAGTTGTTGAAAACTTTATGCTTAATCTAATGGAGTCATCAAAATAATCGTCACTTCCGGCCAAACCGGAATTAGTCGGAAAAATTTGTGCCAAAAATATGTCTTGATAAAAATTAATTTTCTTTTCGTCGCATTTCAAACCGGAATATAAAAAACAATTTTGCAATAATTAACATAGCTTTAGAGGATTCAAAGCATTTTTGAGCATTATTTCTCTTTTTTTTTTCTTTTTTTTTTTAAAATCAAAGCTACTTCTGGTCAAACAGGACGGAAGACCTTCTCGTTGCTTTGCAACGAGCTTTGCTCTAGTTTAGAGTTACTTTTCTTTTTGTCTTTTATTTGATAGAGGCTACTTACTCATGACCATCAAATCTCTGACAAGTGCTGTCTTCTCTGTTTTCAGTTATGTGTCTCTCTCTTCTCACTGGCTGTAAGCAATTTTTGTTGTTGTCATTATTTAAAAAAAACTAGAGGTACTGTGAGCAATGAGCTCACTAAATGATACCCCCCGCCTCCCATAATGTCGATGTGTTGCTTCATATTGTTTTACGGTAATGTGTAAAGAGGAATAACTCGTTCTATCAAATATTATCCAGAAGCTTCTGTTATGTGATGTCATAGGTAAACAAAAAATAGCAATGTCCATATTTTGCTCTGGGAAACCTAAAATACGTGTTGAATAAAAACGTAAAATAGGAGGTGCACAATGGCAATATGTAATAAAGATTCTGTGAAAGTTTCATTAAATTTCACTCAGTAGTATAAGAGGAGTTGCGGATAAGAGAAAAAGCGTAACAGACGGACGGACGTACAGACGGACGGACAGACAGACAGACGGACGGACGGAAATCCCGATCACTATATACCCTCCCGCTTTTCAAGCGGGGGGTATAAAAATGATTGCATTGTAAATTGTACCATCAGCTACAAGGGATCATGATGTATACAGGTATTAGGCAACATCTTTATCATATAATGTGAAATAAATATACATGTACATTAAGTGCTGCTGCTGATGAAATACACACAACTTACCTTTTCAAATAAATTAACAGCATATATGGCACCAGTGCTGCCCCCTGCAAATAACCTGAACTCTGCTGCATCCATTGTGACAGAACAAATGCCCACCTCAAACACAAACGTACAGAGAACCTCCCCACTGTTAACGTCATAGAGTCTACAAGTCTGGTCAAGGGAGGAGGAGACAACTCTAGCGAGGTGACCCCCGACCCCCACATGTAGATCCGTGACAGGGAGGGAGTGACTGGACCACACCTGGTCAGGTGATACAGGAGCTCTGCTCTCTGATTGGTCACAAAGGGCTCTGAAAGAGGGATTCAGTTTCAACAGAAAAAATAAATTCAATTAATTAAAATTTATTGTGAATGAGCATGCAGTCACTATAAAATTTATTGTTATACCCTTATAAATATCCTTCTATATATTTATTACTAATAAAAAGTCCTACAAAAGAAATGTTTATTACATCGGTCTAACAATTTCACTATTGACCGGTCTTACATAAGAATTGTTAGACCGCAATGTCACTCGTCTGTTACGTCAAAATTAATAATCATCGTTCAATATCGGCGACGCAAAAATAGCCGAAGTTAAGAGCTATATTAAGAGTTGCTGCTTACAGCAAGGTAAGGTAGAAGGGAAGAGTATGTTTTGTGAATAATTTTTGTGATATAATAGATTTATAATTGATTTTGTTCTTTCTCAGCTTGATGTTTACTGAAGAAACCATAATTTTCCATATAAAATAATTGATAGTATAGCGTGTATTGATAAAATTGACCAATCTTAAGTGAGCAGTGAAGGGTATAACAAAACAGTTATAGACTGGAATTCGGGCAACATATGATTTGTTGGACCTGAAGATGAAAATGTTGCCCTTGGCCTGCGGCCTCGGGCAACATTTTCACCTTCAGGTCCAACAAATCATATGTTGCCCTCATACCCAGTCAATAACTGTATAATATATCATAGATGTATGTTTTAATATATTACATTGTATTTTATTATATGATTAAATAATTTCCATCTCTCTGATTGGCTGAGATCCAACTATGTTAGAAAAATACTACGTTGTATTGACCTGCACGTGACGTTCCCGGTGAATACAAGGATTTATTTCCTCTACACTGATCTAAAAATAGATCTGGAAATTCCAAATTGATACAGATTGCTTTGGGAAGCTATTTAAATGACTATGACTTTTTTTTCATGTGAACAAAGCATAAGCAAATTTATATTTTCGGATGAGGGTGGTAAGTGGGGATGCAGGGACCCCCCTCCAACACTTTTAATGAACAATTTTTTTTCTACTTTTTGGCAGTCAGTTTTCCCTGATAATACTCCTTCCTTTCAAAATCAATCCTATAAAAAAGACTGACATTATGTATTTTTTCATGGCAACTAAAATTGATAAAAAAACATTTCAAATTGATAAGACTAGTAAGGTTTACCGGTATTTACATTTTAATTCTGCTTCTCTCTTGTATTTGGCTAGGACTTCATTAAATGCAAACAAGTAATGAGCTGCATCATTTTATCAATGAATCATAAAATAAAACAATTATTGCTGTTTTTTCGGTCAATACAATGATTTAGCCATCTTCGAAATACAATATTCACTTCGCCCTTCGGGCTCAGTGAATATTGTACTCCTCAGATGGCTAAATCATTGTATTGACCTCAAAAAACAGCAATAATTGTATAATACTTAACACAGATAACCTCTATCTTTAAACTGTCATTATACTTGTATTAAAAGCTTAAATTCTATACTTAAGTCTTAATTTATTTTCAAGAGATAAGCTCAATAAATATGTTGGAATTTTGTACATACTTTGTTATATTTTCATAATAAAATAGTTTATTGATATCGTTATGACGCTGTTTTGAGTCTACATGTGTTACATAAATAAACTTACTTTCCTAGTGACCACACAATGACAAGACTGTCTTCTCCTCCAGACACAATTAATCCAGAGGAACACTTTAAGCAGGTAATGGTCTGATAATGGCGGCTCAATACACTAAGTAGCCGCCCGGTACAGGTCTGGTAAAAAAAAAAAAAAATACAGGGGGAAATTAATTTTCAGAATTCTGACAAATATTTATACCATGTTTAAATGTTTGTAAATATGTGTGTAAATGATATACAATAAACAATCAAATTTTGAGAATTGTTTCACAATAATATAAAACTTTTCTGCTGCTCATAAAAGTCACTACACAGGCAAACACATACACCTATGAAAAGTATTCAGTTTACTCATTTAATGTCAGTGAAGGTTTGTGAATTCATTAACCACTTATTACCTGCCAAATGTAGATTTTCTCTGCTATAGCAGCAACACAGTATGCCCCATCCTCTGTAACAGTGACGGCTGACACAATTCCAGGACAAACCATCTTAGTACATGTGTTGTCCTGATGAAAGGGAAATGATTATTCTCTTGTTTTAGTTTGAAAACCAACAGCAAAAAATTTTTTATTGGTATTTGCAGTAAGTTCATAGTCAAAAAAGTAAATGTAAATATATTAAAACAAGAAAAGAGAAAATGTATAGTTTGAGCAGGAACTGAACCCAGTATCCCTGCATCACTAGTCAGCTGCTCTAACAACTGGACTATCCAGGCTTATCCATTTCCTAAACCATAAGAGCATAATTTTATAGCATACATGTGTAATGGATATCGGCCTGAGTAGGCTACTAGCTCAGTCAGTAGAGCACCTTACTAGTGATACAGGCATCCAAGTTCAAATACTGGTCCAGCCATACATTTATTTTCTCCTTTCCTGTTACAGGTTTGATGTCATTGACAACTCCTAACTTGCAAGTGAAAGTACTGCCAGGGGCTAATAAGAACTTTGGTTGTTTCTCCGAGGGTGAAGACAATTTAAGGAGGGAATGGAATATAATGGTTTGGGTTGTGGATATATATCAGCCTGGATAGCTTAATCACTAGAGCACCTGATTAGTGATGCAGGCATCTCAGGTTCCATTCCTGATCCAGCCATACATTTTCTCCTTTCCTGTTACACATATATTTACAGCTACATGTAATGTAAAAAAACCAGAAGTCTCTGTTGAGACTGTAGCTCTACTGGTTTGTACTTATAACAAAGGATGAGAAAAGAAGCCATTGCCATCAGACCAAAACTGTAGAGGAAGTATCATGTTAAAGGAATTTCACAGACATTTCTATTTTTAGTAACAATGGTAACACTGTACATCGAAATCAAAAACCGATGCACTATTTTATGTATCTTAGTGTAGTCTACTTGTGTGCCAAGTTATATTGAAATCAGACCAAAACTGTAGAAGGAGTAGCGTTTTGAAGGAATTTCACAGAAAATTCTATTTTTGGTAACAATGGCAACACCGTTCATTGAAATCAAAATCTAATGCACTATTTTATGTATCTTAGTGTAGTCTACTTGTGTGCTAAGTAATATTGAAATCAGACCAAAACTGTAGAGGGAGTAGCGTTTTAAAGGTATTTCACAGAAAATTCTTTTTTTAGTAACCATGGCAACACCGTTCATCGAAATCAAAATCTAATGCACTATTTTATGTATCTTAGTGTAGTCTACTTGTGTGCCAAGTTATATTGAAATCAGACCAAAACTGTAGAGGGAGTAGCGTTTTAAAGGTATTTCACAGAAAATTCTTTTTTTAGTAACCATGGCAACACAGTTCATCGAAATCAAAATCCGATGCACTGTTTTATGTATCTTAGTGTAGTCTACTTGTGTGCCAAGTAATATTGAAATCAGACCAAAACTGTAGAGGGAGTAGTGTTTTAAAGGTATTTCACAGAAAATTCTATTTTTAGTAACCATGGCAACACAGTTCATCGAAATCAAAATCCGATGCAGTATTTTATGTATCTTAGTGTAGTCTACTTGTGTGCCAAATTATATTAAAATCAGACCAAAACTGTAGGAGGAGTAGCGTTTCGAAAAATTGTTTACAGACAGACGGACAGACCGACATACAGACAGACAGATGGACGGACGACGGACACCTTACTATCGCATAAGCTCTTCTGGTCTCTGACCAGTAGAGCTAAAAAAAACAAAAAACAGAGGTTGACAGTTGAGTTGGCAGTAAGTCAATCCTTCCTCTTTCACCTTTTCAACTACAATTACAGTGCCGTTAATCATTCCAGTCTTTTTGAGAGAGGCTGAAAAAAAATGAACATAAAAGTCAATTAACTGTCTGATATACCCTTTTATGTAGTGGCCATAACGTTAACACAGGTTTTGTGGGAGATGCACTAATGAGATATTGTTGTCCTAATACAGCCAAGCCGTGGGGGGCACTTGTCCCTCCTTTATATGTGACAACACTGGTCCCTGACTCGACATCCCAGACACACACGTTCCACAGCTGTCCTGTTGTTTCACTTGTCAATAAAACCTAGATTTAAAAAAGGAGATGAAATTTTAAAAAAGGAGATGGGAGTCTTTTTAATTTTTTCATTAAATTAAGCAAACATGAACCAAAGTTTGCTTTTAATTTTATTGTATGTAATAAAAATGTTTCACACAAGGGCACATTACTTTAATTTCAATATTTTTTTATAATTAAAAAGCTGAACCATAATAAACTGATTAAGTTACAAAAACAGAGTGTAGATTTGTTATTTCTACTTCTACCAATCTGCAACCAATCATTGATGATTCCGTTGCGCGTATACGACAATCAATATTCTCTTTAGAAAAGTGGACAGGCTTTCGCCTACATCCACGAAAGATGGATGTCGGCGAGAGTCTGTCCACTTCTCTAAAGAGAATAATACGACAACGATTACGTCAAGCAAACGGATTTCACAGAAGTAAAATGAGAGATTTATTGTATATTCTTTGATATGACATAAAAATGAAACGTCTGATCATTGAACAACACCACATACGTACCTCGATGGATGTCATGTTACACACGTGCTGCTGTTTAACTGTGTTCAACTCTAAAGGAGTGAAAGTCGGTTTTCCTTTCACTTTGTTGAAGTTTCAACTAATCACAGGAAAAAATGCAAAAAAGGGATTATTTTGATTGAATGAGATATTCAAGGTATATTTACTAATGTCTTCAATAACAATAAGTAGTTAAAGATTTGAAAGATCTATTTTTCTTTTCTTCTCATGATTCTACAAATTTGAATAGAATCAAATAGTAAACTGTTAAAATCTATGGCGAAACTGCGGGGTATAAAACATCTTATGTTCTTTTTAAAATCACAACAGAATAACGAAATGAGTGAAATTTTTATTGGATGTATTTAAAAACTTTATTCGAAAGTTATTAATTTCAGACACTTCAGAAAATTTCTTTTGTCTTTGACAGAGGTGCTTGGGGACAGAGACCCCCATCGTCGGATACTCAGGGGTGAGCTCGTCTTTTACTCATCACGTGATGAGTGAAAGACGAGCTCACCCGTGGGCATCCGACGATGAGAGACCCCATGCTCTCTCCTGACTAAGGATAAAACAATGGGATGGTAGATAGATTTTTTTATTTAAAAATGCTTGTGAATATGATGTCATAATACAACATAATGTGATGAAAAAACTTCTAAATCAGTAAAATAAAAATGAATTCAGGGGGTTAAAACATAGTTTTAAGTTGGAGTCAGTCGATCGTGAAAGAGAAAAAAAATTAATAGCGAAACATACTCCTTTCTTATTTAAAAAAAAATACATTTTATGCAACTATTCCTCATGATAAACTAAAAACTAGGTGTTTTTTTTCATGCCACTACCGCTTTTTCAATAAAAAGAACTAGGAAAATTTTGCATCAATCTTGTGGTTAATACACATTAAAAATTGCTTTGTAAAAAAAACACTCTGGTTCTGCACTCTGATGTTGATATTATATCTTTACCGACAAAATTTATGTAGTCTTTGGAGACCAAGTTTTCAAACAAACGATTGGAATTCCGATGGGCACTAGTTGTGCTCATTTATTTGTCAACTTGTTTTTATATTCCTATGAAGCAGAATTTATACAAAAACTTATATACATGAAAAAGAAAAAAACACTTGCTGCGAACTTCAACTCGACTGTTAGAATATATTGACGACGTTTTATCAAGTAATTTAGAAGTCACTTTCACAGCAGCTACATTCTACCGACGGATAAGTTGAAATGCTTAAAATAAAGAGAAATGTAGATATAGTCATTCTGCTTTGACAGATGGTTATGTTATGTCCTATTTTTGTACAAGTACTTTCTGAATCAAATCGCTGCCCACTCTTTCTCTTATTCCATGAAATTAAGAATAAAAGGAAATAGATTAATAAACGCCTTATATATTTTGACATTTTATTATGAATCATAAAGGGTTGAAAGGATCATCTGTATGTAGATCAACACTGAAGAGAAAAACGGAACATAACGACAAACAAATCCGGTGACCATATACATGTACTGAACAAAGGACAATGTTACCGTGTTTTTGTAGCAGACCTTATATGTACACATGTACTTATAGTTGTCAATTTACTAAATGTTGTTAAGGAGAAGACCATCTTAGATCCCTTGTGTCCGATCCTTCTGACTTTGTAAGCGTTTTTGACATCAAAAAATGTTTTTGGGGGTCTAAGAATAAAACATATGGAGATAACGAACAGTGTAAGATCAAAAGGGTACAAAACAACACAAAATAGGAGCAGAGCAAACACGGACCTCCAGAACGTCAGAGGTGGGATCAGGTGCCGTGGAGGAGTGAGCATCCCCTGCCGACCGGTCACACCTGCCATGTGCTCTTTGTCATGATCGGGAATAAAGGGAAAATCCGTCGTCAATTCAGTGTATAAATAATGGATTAACAATTTTAAATGATTTTTTGTGTGAAAGTATTTAACAGAAAGTTAAAGTAATGTGAATTCACCTTGGGTTACAAACTACATATTTTGGTGCACTGTTAACGATACAATATTATCTTCTTTAATAAACACATCATTTTAGCATGAACTTATTAAAAGAGGAATAATAAGCTGAATAATACAATAGATTTGTATTACAATTCAGTTTAGATGTGAATTGACTTATTCGAGTAAAGTTCATTATTTATTTACGTATTTAAATTGTAACTTTATAGCCACTATAGGCAAAACCCAGAGAAAAGTGTTGACTTTGCAAAATGTTTAAGGTCTTTCTAGCACTTTAATTTTGTTAGTTTCTGATCCACATAAATTCTATTCTCGAACTTTTGTTTCTGAGATTTTTGAAAATGATACTATAAAAAATGATGAATAGTTTTATAGGTTTTCGTAATTTTCATAAACGTTCCACAATGAGGCTGTCTTCAGCATTTGTAGTGGACTTCTGTGGTTTGAAATCACAGCTCCGTAACATATTGACTTCAAAGGTCTCGGTTCGGACCATCAGAGTATGGCCATAGCAATGTCACAGTCTGCTTTATCTAAAAATTTTATAGCAAATCCTAATGGAAGAGTCACAGTGCTTAATTAAGCATCGTAATGAATGTTTTGTAGCTAGAAAACCATCTCCGATAGGTTGGTAGATTTGATGGTGGTAGTGTAACGGTATGGTATACAAGCAGCGAAGCTGGACTGAATTGGTTCATACTAAGAGAAAGTGATGGCACAACGGTACTCTGATGATTTCCTTCGTGCCTCTCTCTCCAAAAATACAACCTCCTGGAGTCGTACTTTAGACTGACAACACATGCAATGTACTAGTAGTCAAATACATACAATGTATAGTCAAATAAACCAAACAGCAATCTTGCCTTGTTCATCTAAATAATAAGATTAAAACCCTTTTAGTATGCATCGGACAAAAAGGACAGGCATATCCATCAAATAGAACTGCATCTCAAGACTCTGCAACAGATGACCCCAAACTGTACATTAAGAGAGGGATAAGATTTTTATATAGTTTTAACACACTCGTCTGGGTCTAGAGAAAAACCCATTTAGAACATAGAGTTTTTCAAGTAGAAAATAATCGGTCACTTTTTACTCAAATCCAAAGTAATCATGTCGTCTGTCGAGAGTGTTTTACCAGACGACAAAGTGTTATCGAAACTCTTTTTGCGCAAATGAGATGATGGCGTGACATCTTGTTCACCACTGTTTGTTGCGAAAGCCAGTTTTCCGAAAATGCCCTTAAATCGCAGCTGGAGAGCTTTGAAATTTTCTTTTCTCAGAAGAATGTATATCCAGGGATCGATGATGGAATTGGTGATGCCAAATCTTACTACGGTTAATTCTCTAGACCCATTGCCACTGATCCACAAGGCCGCATGCCCAAGAATGGTAAACTTAAATGAAAGAAAACATGCAATTTTTATTTACTAATTCAAAGAAGATAAAAAAATCTGCAACTAATAGCAAATAAAATGTAGATTTTTAAAATTTAAAATAAAATAAAATAAAATAATAATAATCACCATCAGTGGGGTCCAACAAATCGTAAAAAGGGTAACAATTACGAGCAATAAAATCACGTTGAAGATGTCGGATTTTCTTCGTCTGGTTTTGGAAATTGTGTTGTCCTCTCTAAAATGTCTACAGAGTGACGCAATGACAAGCACATTAAAAGAGATAGTGGTAAATAGGATCAGCAATCCAAATAAGGAGTAAACGTAGGAATTGGCTCGGTCTAGGGTGGTTACTCCAATAAAGTTCAGAAAGCACCAGGAACCTGGATAGTAGCTAAAACTGGATCCAAGTCCCATTAAATGTAAACTGGAAATGAAGGCTCCAAAAATCCAGATGGAAATCAGCGTGATGTTTGCTCGATATTTTTTATTTAGTACATTGTATTTGAAAGGATATAAAATAGCCATAAAGCGATCAAAAGACATCGCACAAACAATCATTGCTGAGGAAATCAGCATAAAAGTAAAAATAAAAGAGCTGTATTCACACAGAGGCTTTGGAAAATCGTAGGTAAAGTCGGAGGCATATCTGATAAAAACGGTTGGGAGGCCTAATAGAATTCCCCCGCCATCCGTCAAAGCTAAGCCCGCGACCAGTCTATGAAATGGTCTCCATTTGTGTCTCTTTCTGGCTCTTATCAGAGCGATGAGTGCAATTAAGTTTCCAAGTACTCCTAGAACACACTGTAAGATTGGTGGAACTATGGATTCCCAGATTCTGGCTGTCTTGGTCATGTTCAAGGTACCAGTAGTGGAGACGACATCCGTTATTAGTATATGCTGAAAGTTTTTGCAAGTTGGTTTATTTTACCTTGTTTATATAGCTGCTGGCTAAATAAATATTTCCTGTAATGCACGCAATATCCTTTTTGAGGTTTACGGGGATAACTGCTGATCGAATAATTATTTTTACGAAATTTATTGATATAATGAATAATATCTGATTACCGGGTACACCTAAAGCTGCCTCTCAGTTAAACCTAAATTAAGAAAGCAGTATAATGCCTACAACTTTAATGAAATATAGAAATATATATATGTACCAATAAAGGAAATAGAATTTGCTTCTGCAGATAAGCGAAGAAAATATGATGATTAACGGTAACCATGCTAAAAATTTCAGAAGTAGGGCAAACACGGACCCCTTAAAGATCATAGGTGGGATCAGGTGCTATAACGACGCGTGTATCCTCTGTCGATACCGAAGTGGGCTCCTTATCATGATCGGGTAATCGGTAAAAAAAAACCAAAGAAACAATTGTGTGAAATTAATGGTCTTAAAATCTGAATGAAAAATGTCAATCAACATTTGAATTAAACCCCAGTATCTTTCATCAAAAATCTATTTTCATTGACCAGCTCATGATACTAAAGTGAAGTCGATACACAAGAGCGTGCTGCACATGTAAGTATGAACAATTTTTTAAACAAGATAAATTATTGACAAACAAGTTGATGAAACAAGAATATCAGCAGTCATCATTACGTAAGGTCTATGGTCGACACAATGACCTTGTCAGCGAATACAATTTATCACTGAGTCAAATGCTGACTGACTTTTTTCATAATAATTGTAAGTCTATTAATTATACACTGTACTGACGACAGATTTTTCCATTATTTACCGATCATGACAAGGAGCACAAGGGGTGTGTGACCGGTCAGCAGGGGATGCTCACTTCTCTATGGCACCTGATCCCACCTCTGATGTTTTGGAGGTCGATGTTTGCTCTGCTCCTATTTTGTATTGTTTTATGGACTTTTGATCTTGAATACTGTTCGTTATCTCCATATGTTTTAAGGTAAACTGAGATTAAAATCTAGGTTTATATATTTTATGGCGAATTCGAAACTGCGAGGAGTAAAGAACATCCCATTTTCTTTTTTAAAAATTACTACTGAATAACGAAATTAGTTATATTTTTATTGGATGTACTTTAAAACTTTTGTCGAAAGTTATTAATTTCTGTCACTTCAGAAAAATTCTGTTGTCTTTGACAGAGGTAATGCTCTTTCCCGATTAAGGATAAAACAATGGGGGGTTAGATAGATTTTTTCAATTTAGATGTTAATGTGACGAAAAAATTCTAAATGAAAAAAAATTGAATTCAGGAGGTTAATAAAAGTTTTAAGTTAGAGCAATTTTAGTCAGTCGATCATGAAAGAGAAAAAAAATTAACATAGAAACAGACCCCCTTCTTGTTTAAAAATACCCGATATATATTTTATGCAACTACTCTGAGGTCATGAAAAAAAGACGGCTTTTTTATACCACTACCGCCTTGTGGCAACGCACAAAATTTTCAAAGTGCGTTAAAATTGGGACAAAATCAACGCACTTTGAATATTTTTTTCAAAGTGCGTTAAATTTGGGACCAACTCAACGCACTTTAAAAAAATTTTTAAAAGTGCGTTAGGAGTCTACATCAATATATTTTACCATGGAGACACTTAACGCACTTCGAAAAAAAAAAATCATATTTTAGTAATGGAAAGATTTTATTTGTTATTTATCTTTCAAAAAACTAACCCTAACCCTAACCTCAAAAAAGAATTGATTTACTCCCATCGAAAAGACGAGAAGACGGGTATAAGATTCCTAACCTCAGTCCAAATCTTTATCTTTCCAATACATAGGTGTCGGTAACAAACGGGGGAGGCGAGCAATAAACCCAAAAGGGGTAAGCTGCATTTTCAATGCTTATACGATGTATATATCTTTCCAAAATAAGTGGGGGGCTTAGCCCCCCCCCCCTCCCCTGGCCCTTCGCCCGGTCTCGATGTCTATGCTATACTCAAAACATTCATATAATTATGTATTTACCTAACTGGTATGATGTTGAAAACTTTCAATATTAAATGAGTTAATTAAAACAGATGAAAACTAGAAATTTTTAAGTACAGTAAAACGTATGAGAGGGAAAGCATTTTCATAGTTTTTAACAATCAAATTACCCCCTTTTTATTATGATAAATGCTAAGTTGCTTGAAGCTGTCAACTGTTAGTGCCCCCTTTACACCTTTACATCTATTTATCAAAGACTAGAATTTAAAAAAAAACGAATTAATAATCTTAAACAATCGTCACTCTTTTTTTAAAGACCCTTTTCCCTTTTATTTTATCAAATATTTAAAACGTCTATATCTCAGGTCCTGAAGTGACTTTATCATAAAAAAGTTATCCAACCAGGATCTGTTATTTATCATACCGATTATTTTCTAGGAATATTGATTAATCTTTACTTTTTTTCAAAGTGCGTTAATATGGACGATATTAACGCACTTTGAAAAAAAAATTAATTTTTTCAAAGTGCGTTAGCTTGGTCCCAAATTTAAGCACTTTGAAAAAAAATTTTCAAAGTGCGTAATTTTTCAAAGTGCGTTTTAACACCGCTTTTTTATATTTAAGGAATGAAGCTTATTTCAACTTATGTTATACGATATAACATAACTTGGGGCAGTTTACGCTTTATAAACCACTTCGAGGTTTATAAAGCGTAAATTGCCCCAAGTTATGTTATATCGTATAACATAAGTTGAAATATGCTTCATTCCCTATAATTTAATTTCAATGTAGACAATGAGACAATTTTCCATTTTTTTCCTTCGGAAAAAGGCTTCAAACATCGCATATTTTGAAAGTTAACGTCAAGCGGAGTAATACGTTTTTGACGTAATTCATTGTGACGTAGGCAAGTTATGTTATACAAAATGGATAAAACCGTTTAACCAATCAAATGACGTGTTACGTGTGAAATTAAATTATTAAAAAAGAACTCGAAAATTTTTGCATCAATCTTCTAATTACTCATAAAAAATTACTTGGTTAAAAACACTCTGGTTCTACACTCTAATGTCGATATTGTTTCTTTACCGACAACATTTATGTATTCTTTGTAGACCATGTTTTCAAACAAACAATTGGAATTCCGATGAACACTAATTTTGCTCCTTTATTAGCCATCTTATATTTATATTCGTATGAAGCAGAGTTTACTAGTATTAAAAAACTTATATTTCCATTTCTAATTTTTCTCTCTGTGAAAGTTAGAGGAGTTGATTTCTCAATAATTCTGCTGGAATGTAAATTAGGCAGGTCGATAGGTCAGGAGCTAAGAAGGCGTAATATGCATGCAAATCTCGTGCGCATCTGTCTCTGTGTCTGACGCTGAGGAGGCCAAATATGCATGTAAATCTCGTGCGGCTGCCTTTGTATTTGACGTCGGTGGGCGAGGACTATTGAAATTGCCATGGGAATCCTCTTGTAATTTAAATATACGAGGGGTTATCAAAAAGTTCGTGGACTGAGGCTATAAAATTAGTACTATGTAGTCTGTGCTTTCAAAATTTATATGGAACATAAAACAACACAAAATAAAGAAATGTTGAAAATTTTAGCCTGATACGTTCATTATTTGCCAAATTATTATAAAATTAAAACGACATTATATGATCACCCGGCTCTGTCGTCATTTATTTTCATGACGTCCGATAACGCCATTGTTTTTTCAATGTCCGCTTCTTCTACCTCATACAATATATATGCAAAGGAGAAAACACTTGACGCGAGCTTCAACTCAGCATTTAGATACGTGTGTCGTTAACTAAATTTCTAATTCAATAATTATTAAACGACACATCACAGATATATTTACGACATTTTATAAGTAATTCAGATGTGACTTTCACAGCAAGCTGACGGATAAGTTGAAATGTCAATTAAAATAAAGAGAAATGTGGATATACATATACCCAAAACAATGCAGTTTCTCTGATTTAGTCCTTTTTCTTTGACAGAGGGTCTTGTATTATGGTCATTTTTTATGCAAGTACTTTCTGAATCAAATCGCTGCCCACTCTTTCTCTTATTCCTTGAAATTAAGAATAAAAGGAAATAAAGCCTGATATATATATTGATTACTTTTCATTATGAATCATAAAGGGTTGAAAGAAACATTTATATCTAGATCAACATGGAAGAGAAAAACGGAACATACTGACACACAAATCCGGTGAAAACAAAGTACAATGAATGTTACAGTGTTTTTGTAGCAGACCTTATATGTACACATGCACTTTAAGTTGACAATTTACAAAATGTTTTAAGGATAAAATTTAGTATCACCTTGCAGAATGATCCTTTTTAAAATTTCATACTTTTATTTTGAACTTGAATTGTGTAATCAGTTACTAGTATTTTCACTTAAATTAATTCTGAATCTTTTTTATGGTTGGAAAATGAAACAACTAATTATTTATTTAATTGCACAGTGACACTCTATATGGTCAATTCTTGAGAACTACAAAGGGACATACCATTGCTTACAAAAATCTTTTATAAAACAAAAAAAAATTATTATGATCTCTCTGTCATGTCCATCATAGAAAAGATTATGTTAACTAAATATATTCAACACATTCATTTTGTCCTAAAGCGGTTTTAATTTTATGTCAAAGAACTCTATAAATCAAAATAAATTTTAATGTAAAATAATAGGTTATCAATATTTTTTTATATTGTTGAAGGAGTCATCTACAATTTTATTTCACAATGAAATTAAAAAAATAAAATTTCAACGGAACTTAATTTTTTAGCACAAACTTCTAATGCAGCTTAAAACATAGCTTAAATTTCAAAACCCATGAACATACTATATGCTAATTGTTTTCGTTTTACTTTAGAAATCCTATCATCTTCAGTATTGAATTTGACAATAGACAATAAGCATTAGCCATATTAATAATAGTTTTCTGAGGTCCGAATTTAAATATATATGCAAAGGAGAAAACATTCAGTTAATGTGAGTTTCCCTTGGTTTACACATTTAGATACGTGTGTCGCAATATAACATAAATTTCTATATCATCAATAATTATTAAAAAGGAAAAATAAGCTGAATATATTTAGATTTGTTTTATAATTTATTTTTAGATGTGACTTTCACAGCAAGCATTATTTATTAATGCATTTGAAATGTCACTATAAAAAAAGAGAAAAAAATGTTGGATTACATATACCCAAAACAATTTTGCAGTTTCTCTGATTTAATCCTTTTTCTTTGACAGACTTTTGTATTATGGTCATTTTTTAAACAATGTTTTTGAAAATGATGACTCTTTTCTTATTCCTTGAAATTATAGAACTTTAAATGAGGTCATTTAGCCTGATATATATATATAATTATATATATATATAGAAACTGTTTGCATTATGAATCATAAAGGGTTGAATCAAAACATTTATATCTAGATCAACAAATCACAGAAAAACGCAAATACTGACACACAAATCCGGTGAAAACAAAGTACAATGAATGTTACAGTGTTTTTGTAGCAGACCTTATATGTACACATGCACTTTAAGTTGACAATTTACAAAATGTTTTAAGGAGGAGACCATCTTAGTATCACCGTGCAGAATTGATCCTTTTTACAATATTTCTTTTGGACTTTTATTTTTAACTTGAGTATGTGTAATCAGTTACTAGTATTTTCACTTAAATTAATTCTGAATCTTTTTTTATGGTTGGACAATGAAACAACTAATTATTTATTTAATTGCACATTCTTGCCTTGTGACACTCTATATAATCAATTAAAACCTTTTGAGAACTACAAAATGCACAGGTATAATATCGTCACTAATCTTTTATAAAACATACACGTAATTATTCAATTGATCTCTCTGTCATGTCCATCATATCAATACTTTTCACAGATTCTAATATATTCAACACATGTCATTTTGTCACTTAATTTGCTAATTGTTCTTGTCAAAGAACTCTTTTATAAATCAAAATAAATTTTAATGTAAAATAATAGGTTATCAATATTTTTTTATATTGTTGAAGGAGTCATTGGCAATTTTAAGAACATGTACTAGTATAATGCTCGATTAAAAAAATAAAATTTCAACGGAATTTAATTTTTTAGGACAAACTTTTAATGCAGCTTAAAACATAGCTTAAATTTCAAAACCCATGAACATACTATATGCTAATTGTTTTCGTTTTACTTTAGAAATCCTATCATCTTCAGTATTGAATTTGACAATAGACAATAAGCATTAGCCATATTAATAATAGTTTTCTGAGGTCAACGAATTTAAATGATTTTTTATGCGAAAATATCTTACAAAAACATTCAGTTAATGTGAAGTTTCCCCTTGGTTTACACACTTCTGAGTATGCTTCGGTGTAATGTTAACGATGCAATATAATTCATAAACTTATCTATATCATCTTTGCATGAATTAATTAAAAGAGGAAAAATAAGCTGAATAATAGAATAGATTTGTTTTACAATTTATTTTTAGATGTAAATTGACTTATTCGAGTAAGATCATTATTTATTAATGCATTTGTAACTCTATAGCCACTATAGACAAAACCCAGAGAAAAAAATGTTGATTTTGCAAAATTCTAACACTTTAATTTTGTTAGTTTCTGATCCACATAAAATCTATTCTCGAACTTTTGTTTCTGATATTTTTGAAACATGATGTTATTTGAAAATGATGAATCGTTTTATTGTTTTTCGTAATTTTCATAAACTTTCCACAATGAGGTCATTTTCAGCATGAGCTTTTCCTGAATTATACACTTGTATACAGACATAAAAAGAAACTGTTTGCACTTGACTAAGGGATGTTTGAATCAAAGGCAGTGGACTTATGTTGGTTTGAAATCACAGCTCCGCAAATATTGACTTCAAAGGCTTGGATCGGACCAACAGAGTATGACCATAGCAGTGTCACAGTTTAATTTATCTACAAGTCTAAATGTTTTATTGTAAGAGTCACAGTGCATAATCAAGCTTAGCAATGAATGATTTGTAGCTAAACACCATCTCAGATAGATTGGTAGATTTGATGGTGGTAGTGTAACGGTATGGTATACAAGGTGGACTGAATTGGTACACACTAAGGTAAAGTGATGGCACAACAGTACTCTGACGATGACTTCCCTACCCTTCTCTCCAAAAATACAACCTCCGGGAATCGTATTTCAGCCTGACAACACATAGTCAAATATATATGGTCAAATACATCAAACTGCATTCTTGCCTTGTTCATCTAAATAATCAGATTAAAACCCTTTTTAGCATGCATCGAACAAAATGCACAGGTATAATATCTTTCAAACATAGCTGCATCCCCAGACTGCAACAGATGAACAAAGCTGGATAACATTCCCACACAGTTTTAATTAATGCACTCATCTAGCTGCGTACAGTGGAATGGAGTTTTAGGGTATCATTGGTTTATTTAGGGGGATACCAGATAATTACCTTAAACTTTCTGCGATTTTAAAATTCTTGAGTAATTATAACATTTGGATTGTAGACCTATTTTTAACCATATTTCCTTCTTATGAATATCTCACAAGAAGTAATCTTTATATCTTAACGTGTCAATAAATTTTCGTTTCCCATTTCTTAACAGTGTGTAAAAGATGGATGAGAGAAAAACCCATTTAGAACATAGAATTTTTCAAGTAGAAAATAATCGGTCACTTTTTACTTAAGTCCGAAGTAATCATGTCGTCTGTGGAGAGTGTTTTACCAGACGACAAAGTGTTATCGAAACTCTTTTTGCGCGAATGAGATGATGGCGTGACATCTTGTTCACCACTGTCTGTCGCGAAAGCCAGTTTTCCGAAAATGCCCTTAAATCGCAGCTGGAGAGCTTTGAAATTTTCTCTCCTCAGAAGAATGTATATCCAGGGATCGATGATGGAATTGGTGATGCACAGTCTTACTACGGTTAATTCTCTAGACCCATCGCCACTGATCCACAGGGCTGCATGCCCAAGAATGGTGAACTATACAATGAAAGAAAACAAGCAATTTTTATTTACTAATTCAAAGAAGATAAAAAAATCTGCAACTAATAGCAAATAAAATGTAGATTTTTTAAATTTAAAATAAAATAAAATAAAATAATAATAATCACCATAAGTGGGGTCCAACAAATCGTAAAAAGGGTAACAATTACGAGCAATAAAATCACGTTGAAGATGTCGGATTTTCTTCGTCTGGTTTTGGAAATTGTGTTGTCCTCTCTAAAATGTCTACAGAGTGACGCAATGACAAGCACATTAAAAGAGATAGTGGTAAATAGGATCAGCAATCCAAATAAGGAGTAAACGTAGGAATTGGCTCGGTCTAGGGTGGTTACTCCAATAAAGTTCAGAAAGCACCAGGAACCTGGATAGTAATTAAAACTGGATCCAAGTCCCATCAAATGTAAACTGGAAATGAAGGCTCCAAAAATCCAGATGGAAATCAGCGTGATGTTTGCTCTATATTTTTTATTTAGTATATTGTATTTGAAAGGATATAAAATAGCCATAAAGCGATCAAAAGACATCGCACAAACAATCATTGCTGAGGAAATCAGCATAAAGGTAAATATAAAAGAGCTGTATTCACACAGAGGCTTTGGAAACTCGTAGGTAAAGTCAGAGGCATATCTGATCATAACGGTTGGATAGACTAATAGAATTCCCCCGCCATCCGTCAAAGCTAAGCCCGCGACCAGTCTGTAAAACGGCCTCCATTTGTGTCTCTTTCTGGCTCTTATCAGAGCGATGAGTGCAATTAAGTTTCCAAGTACTCCAAGAACAAACTGTAAGATTGGTGGAACTGTGGATTCCCAGATTCTGGCAGCCTTGGTCATGTTAAAGGTACTTGTAGTGGAGACGACATCCATTTTAAGTATTTGCTTTACGTTTTGTGCAAGTTGGTTTAGTTTACTTTGTTTATGTAGCTGCTGGCTAAATAATCATTTCCTGTGATGCACACAATATCCTTTTTTAGGTTTACAAGGACAACTGCTTTTTGAATATTGAATGAATAAAATCATTGATCAATATAATAACATCTAATAAACTACAACTAGAGGTATTTTGAGCAATAAGCTCACTTAATGATATACCTCCGCCTCCAACATGGTGATAATGGCAAAGTACATATTTGCACTGGGAACCCCGAAATAAGTGTCAGATCAAAAGTTAAAAAGGAGGTGCACAATGGCATTATTTAATAAAGAATCTGTGAAACTATCATTAAATTTTATTTAGTGGTATTAAAAGAGTTGCAGACTAGAGATGGATACCTTTCAATTTGATTTGCTCTAGATAACCCAAAATATGTGTCCAACCCAAAAGTTAAATAGGAGGTGCACTATGTAACAAAGATTCTGTGAAAGTCTCATGAAATTTCATTCAGTGGTATAATAGGAGTTGCGGATAAGAGATCGGTATCCCAAAGCGGAACAGACGGACATCCCGATCACTATTTACCCGCCTATTTTTCAAGCGGGGGTATAATAAGCCGTCCCTCACCTAAAATTTACCACCTAGTAAGAACCCCCCATTTGCAAAGCAGGCTAATAATTTGTGATGGGGGTGTCCATTCGTTACGTTTTGGGGCACCCATCTCTTATTTGCAACTCCTCTTATACCACAAAATCGAATTTAACAAGATTTCACAGAATCTTTGTTACATAATGCAATGATGCACATCGTATTTTACTTTTTAGTCGAACACATATATCGGGTTTCCTGTAGCAAAACATGGGCACTGCCATTCTTTCTTTAATAGTGATAGGTGCCCATCTTTTATCCGCAACTCCTACTATACCTCTGAATAAAATTTAATTTCACTTTCACATGTCATATTACCATTATGACCACCTATTTTACTTTTTCATCTGACAATTATTTCGAGTCTCCCAGAGCAATACACGGGATTTGCCATTAAAACCATTTGGGAGACGAGGTTATTATTTTGTGAGCTCAGTGAACGAGTCGGACTTTGGTGAATTTTTTCAGGGATTGGTAATTTTGATAAATTATAAGGAAATTTCACAATTTTTGTATTAAGAGCTGGTTTTTACATAATTCTTATAAGAGCTGGTTTTTACTAGTATGCTAATTTCAACCGTACATCGGACACAAATTAACCATCGTTGATTTCAGCTAAAAACATGATGATTCGCAGAGTATTTAACAGCAGAATCGCCAGAATCATCAATAATTTTAAGAAAATGGACAATGCCACACTTTTTTTTAATCACATGCATAGTATACATGAAATTAGTCTTTTTCTTGTTCACTGTCAATTTATTCACTATTCTTCATTGCAACTCTCTTTTTAAAGGATCAAATACCTGTTTTTACATTGAATAAGAGATTTGAAGGTAACCTCTTGATAAAATGGGTTTTCACCATTTGTTTCCAATTCAAGATAACCAATAATGTTGAATGCCCAATGTATCTTGTCTTATCTAATGATTAGAATATCTTATAAAGATGGATTGTATCATGACTTCGTTTTCTAGGAATAAAATTAGTGAGTGAATTTGTTATACTGACCTTCTGGTAATGCTCACAATGATGGAAATTTAATTACAGTTGTTATTATTAAGCGCACATTGCTAAAATTAGTGTTGAACCAAATGAGACATTTTGTTGTAACAGACACAGTCTTTTCCGAATAACTGATATACAATATGAATATACCAGTAAATCATTTGCTTTAGATGACATTTCGTTCGACTCGTGTTTTTCTTAATTTACTACCTTTTTGCGTCTTAATAATCTTTTTTATTATTCTCACTTTACATAAAACAATTTAATGTAAACTGATGCGCAGGAAAAGAAAGTCTTATTTCACAATATATCAGGTGCACAAGGAAATAATTTTTAGCATTGATTTCCAGTAACAATCTGCATGTTTTAATCACTTTAAGATGGTTGTTCTTAAATCGTAGTAAGGTACATTATATCTTTTCCAACAGGGAAGTGAGTTAGCCATTATGAAATCACAACTTCTAAAGCACGCTTGTTGAGTAAAAAAAAGTATATATTTGAAATCTGAATTTTGACTCAAATTTTGTCAACTATCTGCTCATGGCCAAGGGATAAGGTGTTGTAATTTAACCTATAAGTACGATCCAGTGAAATATATACATATGTAGACAACAGACAGTATTCAGACTCAAAAGTCCATTCAAACAATACAAATCAGGAACAGGGCAAACACGGACCTCTAAAATATCAGAGGTGGGGTCAAGTGCTAAGTGAATATCCCCCTGCTGACCAGACAAACACGCTTGTCTTGTGCTCCTTGTTATGACTGGGGAGAAAAATGGAAAGCCCGTGTGTAAATAATGGTATAAACAATTAGTATAAAAATTCAGTTAGCATCTGACTTAATTTATAGATTTATATGCTGATAAGGTCATTGTTTCAACCATAGATCTGATGAAGTAATTACTTTAAAGGAGACTGTTGATTTTCTTACTTCATCAACTCGTTTGTCAATAGCTTGCCTAGTTTCTAGAAATTGTTCATACGTAGAGTATACTCTTGCGTATCGAATCAACTGAGAGATACAAAAACCGTATGCAAAATAAAAATCCCTTTCCTATAAAACTTCGATCTGCGTCGAATTCTTTCTTTTTTGTATTCTTTTTACCACATATGTCTTTTATGGAATTAAATTGGCCTGCTAATGATTAACATGGCACTTGTTATAGTCGAAAAATGAACATAATAGAATAAAAGGTATTTTCATTGGTTGCAAAGTCAACTTAATGAAAAACAATGAAAACTTAACCTATTTCATGACAAATATTAATAAAAAAATGAAATTGCTTGGTAGAATTTAAAATATGATTATGAGGCTATGTACGATATAAATAATTCCATGTTTTTCATACTAATTTTTAGTCCGTTATTTATACACTGAGTTGACGACAACTTTTTTCGTTATTTCCCGATCATGACAAGGAGAACAAGGCGGATGTGACCGGTCGACAGGGGATGCTCACTCCTCCATGGCACCTGATCGCACCTCTGATGTTTTGGAAGTCCTTGTTTGCTCTGCTCCTATTTTGTATTGCGGACTTTTGATCTTGAATACTGTTCGTTATCTCCATATGTTTCACTGTTACATGGAAAGGGAGGGGCTCGGTAAACCTATAAATAAGCAAGAACATGAAGAAAAACATACAATACCTCCAAAGTTTATGACAGATTTCACAAAAGTACATTTTTAATGAGAAAACAATTTTTTGCCACAAAACAACTGTACAATTCAAGATTTTGGATTGATTATTGAAAAAAATGACTTACAAATTTATATTGCCGAAACCTACCGGTATTAGAAATGATTCATGTTTTCATTTTGCGAAAAAAAAACAGTTTATTATACAAAAAAAAATTATATATCGAGTAAGACTATTATTTCATATTCTGTATGTTATATGAAAATTTTTAGCACATTATCTAACACACGAGAGTATGTTACTTTGATCTGCTTTGCATTGAAAAAGATGATGGCGTGGCTTCCTGATTGCTACTGTCAGTTGTTAAATTAAGTTTGCCACAGAAACCACCACCACCACTACCACATCGTTTCTGGAGGATTCGGAGATTCTCCTTTCTCAGCAGAATGTAAATCCAGGGATCTACAATTGAGTTAGAGACTGCAAATCGGACCACCAGCAGTTCTCTGGGACCATATTCTTCCATCCACAAGGTGGCATGTGCAAATATTATGGACTTAAAACCAGAAAGAAATGAATATTGAAACGAAAGTCTGGAAAATAATTTTACAGCAAACACATAGAGAGAGAGAGAGAGAGAGAGAGAGAGAGAGAGAGAGAGAGAGAGAGAGAGAGAGAGAGAGAGAGAGAGAGAGAGAGAGAGAGAGAGCAATATCTTACAATAAGTGGTATCCAGCAGATGGTAAATGCCACGACAATGACCAGAAGTAAAATCATGTTGAAGACGTCACTTTTCTTTACCTTCCGATTAAGTCCTCGTTTGGATGCTCTCAAATTTTTACAAATAGTTACAATGACAAATAAGTTAAGGGTTATAGTTGTTATCAAAATAACATTTCCCAGAATTGAGTATATAAAGGAATTTACTCTGTCCAGCGTACTTTTTCCAACAAAATTCAAAAAGCACCAGGATCCAGGGTAGTAATTATAACTGGAACCAAGACCCATCAAATGCAAAGAGGATACAAAGGTGCTAAAAATCCAGATGGATATAAGCGTTATATTTGTTCGTCGCTCTTTTCCAGCCACGTTGTACTTAAATGGATACAGAATAGCCACGAAACGGTCAAAAGACATGGCACACACAATAAGGGCCGAAGACATTGGAGTAAATGTAAATATGAATGAGCTATAGTCACAAATGGGCTTTGGAAATTTATATGTAAAGTCGGAGGCATATCTCATCATAACTATGGGGTAGACTGCTAGAATGCCCCCGCCGTCCGTCAGAGCCAAACCAAAGACTAGTTTATAAAAGGGTTTCCATTTGTGTCTATTTCTGGACATTAACAAGACGGCTATTGAAATTAAATTTCCAACTACTCCTAAAAAGAACTGTAGACCAGGCGGAACTGCTGATTCCCATACTCTCTCTGTTGTGGAGTTCGGGATCGGAGGGGCAGTTGTGTTCATCTTTCAAATAACTGGGATCAACAGAGATTCGTTTTATTACTAAAGAGAATATATACCGAAAAGGTATTGCGTAAAAAGAAGACTTAATTTCCCGTGTGTGCAATTTCATTCCTATATGAGGGTTTAAGAAATTTAAAAATTGTTAAACAAGCAATAGACGGGAAGAAATCATAATTTAATTATAAAGTGACAACATACGCAGTAAAAGTAAAAGTATACAACTCATCTATTATCAATTTCACTTTGAATTCCGGTCTATATTTTGATTACTAATTTTCTTTTGTCAGGATTCTGACGTATGTGCAATCTGACACCCTGTCTATTCCGACGTAAAATGTGTGTGCTAGTGCATATCTATTGCGTGTAAAACGCTGCTTTATTCGATAATCTTGTGATGTTTATTCAAAATCTTGTAAAGTATATTCAAAATCTTGTGATGTATATGCAAAATCTTGTGATGTGTGTTCAAAATCTTGTGATGTTTGTTCTATAATCTTGTGATGTATGTGCAAAAACTTGTGATGTGTGTACAACATCTTGTGATGTATATTCAAAATTTTGTGATGTATGTTCTTTAATATTGCGATGTAGGTTCTATAATCTTATAATGTATATTCAAAATCTTTTGATGTATGTTCTATTCTCTTGTGATGTACGAGGGCTGTTCGGAAATTTTTGAGACACTCTGTATATTTTGCTTTCTTATGACCGTGGTTCCGTGAAAACGTTTGTCAAACATTAAGAATTTAAGAAGCAAGGGATATGTGGTTTTGTGTGGAGACTGAACTCGATTTCACCATCAACCAGGGTAGATGTAGTACTAGTATCTAGGAATACGTTTTTCGATATATATCATACATGTAGATGTACATGTAGATACATGTACATCTACTGTAAATTTGAAGGACTGAAAAAAGGTGTTGGCAAACGTAATAAGAGTCTCGAGGCTCTCGTGACATTCCACCCACTTCATCTCTATATCGTCAATGAAACGCAACAAGCTAAGGTTCTTTTAAATTGGCGCTTGAAGTAACAAGTTACGTTCAAGTCTTCCAATGAAAGCATTGGCATAAGGCAGTATCATTTTCGTACCCATAACAGTGCCATCAACCTGCAGGTAATGTTCTCCATTACACTTGAGCACCTGAGAACATGTTCAAGGAGCTTGGCAAGGGACTCTGTAGAAGGAATATGTATTGATCTACTAGCCCAGATTTCTCTACAGTCTTTGATACTCTCATCGTGCGGAATATTGGTGTACAAATATGTGACGTCCATAGTCACGAGAAGGGCATGATCTGGAAGGCCAGTAGAGGGCGTCTTTCTAATGTAGTCCGTGGGTGTTCTTGAGATAGGATGCATATGGCAATTTCTCCACCTGTGGACGGAGATGTAAATCAGTGTATTCAGAAATTTTCTCCAATCCGTGAGGTGTCCAATTGCACTTACTATAGACCGACCTGGCAAGCTTTCTTTGTGTATCTTAGGAAGCAGATAAAATTGTCCTGGTCTACAGTCAGTGGGAGTTAGTGTCTCATAGACGTTGATGCTAATCTTGTTTTTCTCAAACATTTTATCATGAGTTTTTATGATAGCGGTGGAGAATTCTTTAGTAGGGTCAGAGTCCTGTTTCTTATAGAAACGTTCGTCCGAGAGTCGTCTATGGGCCTCCGCCGTGTATGTCTCTTTATCCAGTTCTACAACTTAGAACATTTGTCTGCTTTCTTCATAACAATGCCGTAACGATTCTTTAATGATTGTAAGGCGGATCTCTCTTCCTTACTCTTATTGTCGGGAGCTTTGTCTGGCATTGAAAGGAACTTCTCTATGTCTGACTCAACGGCTTCAATATAAGACTCAAGGGCGCTGCATTTGTTCGGTGCAGGTTCCCAGTCATTTTTGGGCCTATTGAGTTTGTGTTCCTCTAGATCGTGTAAATCTGGTTGTGAAGAGTCATATGAATCAACTTCGGAGTCTTTTCTGGAGAAGTGCCCCTTCAAACGAAGTCTCAGAAAGAATGCTTGGGTGTCCTCTCTGATTTGTTTTTCGTCGACCTTATGTTTTGTGGGGCAGAAATTCAGCACCTTGGAAGGAAGTGATGTCTGCGATTCGGAGAGAGGAGCACTAGATTTATTGAGCACTGGGCAGACGTCAGGAGTTTGTAAGGGTCCGTTCCTCGAGATTGTCTTTATGGGCCCCTCCGATCCCTTTAAGCGTCTCGAGTGGGGTGTCCTTGTTTTGTTAACTCTGACCTCTGACCGGTTGTTCCTATTATGTGGAACACTGTCTCAGAGAAATTTCTTTCTAATTGAGTCTTGTCAAGTTTATTTCTTAGGGACATATTATAGGTTTCAATAATCTTATGGGCTTCATCAATATCGGTCTGGGACATGAAATCATTGAGGGATGATTCTAAGGACGTGATCTCACTCTCAGATTGTCCTGACTCGTGGATATCCCAAGAAAGACAGAGTGACATCAATTATTTAGAACATCTCTTTGTAACAATTTCCCAGCGTTCTTGAAAATGTTTGGAGATTGGCCCTATGTTAGGCGTAACATTTATCTAGAAATTTAAAAATCTTATATATTGAAGTATATGGGAAAACTTAGAACAAGTGGACTAAAAAACAACTGAACCTTATGTGGAAACATCCTGGGGTAGTGTGGATTCTAAATTGTTCAAATCATGGCCCCCGGGGGTTGGGCGGGGCCACAATAGGGAGTCTAAGTTTTACATTAAAGTATACAGGAAAAATCTTCTCAAGAACAAGTGGAGTAAAAAGCTGAAATTTATGTTGCAGCATCCTGGGGTAGTTTAGATTCTGAATTGTTGGAATCATGACCCTTTAGGATTGTCAAGGTCAAGATAGGTATTACAAAGGGGGAATCTGTTAAATGACAGGATGGCTAAAGTAACTCAGGTGAGCGATGTGGCCCATTGGCCTCTTGTATTAATTTAACCTATAAATACGATCCAATGAAATACATGTATATGCAAAAGGAGATAGTTAACAATAATCAAGCTCAAAAGTGAATTTAAACAATACAAATCAGGAGCAGAGCTAGAGCAAATACGAACCTCATAACCATTAGAGGTGGGGTCAGGTGCCATGGAGGAGTGAGCATTCCCTTCCAACCAGTCACACAAGGAGGATTGAAAATGCTTACAAGGTCATCGTGTCGACCATAGAACTTATGAAACAAAGACTTTAAACGAGAGTGTTCATAATCATGCTTCATCAACTTATTTGTCAATAGTTTGCCCCGTTTCTAGAAATTGTCCATGCATAAAACATACTCAATATCAAATAAATTGAGAGATATAGACCCTGCATGCAAAATAAATCCTTTTCCTATAAAATTTCGATATGCGCCGATTTATTTCTCTAGTAGTCCTTTTACCACAGATGCCTAATATGGAACCAAATAGGCCTGCCAATGATTAATTTGGCACAAAATTAAATAAAAGGTTATTTTACAGGATGCTAAATCGACTTATTGAAGAACAATAAAAGCAAAAATTATTTCGTAACAAATATTAATAAAAAATGCTTTGTAGAATTTAAAATGTTATTACGATTCTATGTATGATATACATAAGAAATAAAAAGGGATATCCCTGTTACAGGGGAAGGGAGTGACTCGGCAAACCTATAAACATGCAACAACATTCGGAAAAAACATGAACAACCTCCAAAGTTTATGACAGACTTTACAAAAGTTTATTTGTAAAAAGAATAAGACATAAGAATAATGATTTGTCACAAAACATCTATAAAATTCATAATTTTAGATTGATTGGATTCTTTGTTATGAAAATTGTCAGCATATAAAATACAACAGAAGAAAGTATGTTACGTTGACATGCTTTGCATTGAAAAAGAGGATGGCGTGGCTTCCTGGTTGCTACTCTCAGTTGTTAAATTAAATTTGCCACAGAAACCACCAGCACCACATCGTTTCTGGAGAATTCGGAGATTCTCCTTTCTCAGTAGAATGTAAATCCAGGGATCTACGACTGAGTTACAGACGGCAAAGCGGAGCACTAACAGTTCTCTGGGACCATTTCCTTCTACCCACATAGCGGCATGTGCAAATATTATGGACTTAAAATCAGAAAAAAATGAATAAAAAACATTGAAAAAATATCTGATAAATATTTTTACCACAAACGCATAAATTGAGAGAGAGAGAGAGAGAGAGAGAGAGAGAGAGAGAGAGAGAGAGATTTCTTACAATAAGTGGTATCCAACAGACGGTAAATGCCACTACAATGACCATAAGTAAAATCATGTTAAAGACGTCACTTTTCTTTACCTTCCGATTAAGTCCTCGTTTGGATGCTCTCATATTTTTACAAAGAGTAACAATGACAAACAAGTTAAGGGTTATAGTTGTTATCAAAATAACATATCCCAAAATTGAGTATATAAAGGAATTTACTCTGTCCAAGGTAGTTTTTCCAACGAATTTCAAAAAGCACCAGGATCCAGGGTAATAAATTTGACTGGAACCAAGACCCATCAAATGCAAAGAGGATACAAAGCTGCTAAAAATCCAGATGGATATAAGCGTTATATTTGTTCGTCGCTCTTTTCCAGCCACGTTGTACTTAAATGGATACAGAATAGCCACGAAACGGTCAAAAGACATGGCACACACAATAAGGGCCGAAGACATTGGAGTAAATGTAAATATGAATGAGCTATAGTCACAAATGGGCGTTGGAAAATCATATGTAAAGTCGGAAGCATATCTCATCATCACTATGGGGTAGACTGCTAGAATGCCCCCGCCGTCCGTCAGAGCCAAACCGAAGACTAGTTTATAAAAGGGTTTCCATTTGTGTCTATTTCTGGACATTAACAAGACGGCTAGTGAAATTAAATTTCCAACTACTCCTAGAAAGAACTGTAGACCAGGCGGAACTGCTGATTCCCACACCCTCTCTGTAGTTGAGTTCGGGATCAGAGGGGCAGTTGTGTTCATCTTCAAATAACTGGGATCAACAGAGATTCGTTTTAATATCAAAGTGAATGTATGCAGAAGAGGTATTGCATAAAAAGAAGACTTAATTTCCTGTGTGTGCACTTTTTTCAAGGTTCAAGAAAATTAAAATTGTAAAATATGTTATGAAACGGGAAGAAATCATAATTTCATTTAAGTAATAACACACACAGTAAAACATTTTAATACGACACCTGTGTTATCCATTTACTTTGAATTCCGGTTTATATTTTGATTACTTATTTTCTATTCCGACGTAGAATTTGTGTTCCAGTGCATGTCGTGTTAGACAGCTTACACTGTAAATGATGACACGGAAGTCAGAATAATATAATAATACATATTGGTTGACATGCTTTAATGTCTAACGAATAGAAACGGAGGTGATGAAAAAATAATTTCCTAATAAGATCGATATACACACAATGAAGTCAGTCGACCATAACAAAAATTGTGGGAATATGAAATGAATGCTGCCTTACTGCCATGATCTGCAATTTTAAAGTGAAACTTAAAACACGATCACAGTATCTTTGATCATTCAGAATCAGTGTATAAATATATTTTAATAACAATAAATAAAATTAGGAAAAACGGAGAAAAAAATCACATGCAGAGACAGCAAGTGTTTGGATTAAGCATATTTCATCATCAATATATTCTCTAATGCAAAATGGTATGTACAGAGAGGGGATCAGAATAATGAGCAATGATTGATTTCATAAATAAACTTTAAACTATATAAATCTGTGAAACAGGAACGGGGAAACAATACAAATCTGTAAACAAGACATGAAAACTTGAAGAGGGATCAAATGCCATAGAGGAGTAAGCATTCCCTGTTGACCAATTACACCGACTGTGTGATTATTGTCAGTGACTGGAAAAAAAGAATATCTGTACACAATTCAGAGTGTGAATAATGACATTACAATTAGTATGAAAACGTCAGTCAGCAATCGACTTCACTCTCGAGTTGCAGTCAATTATGTTTTCAGAAAAAAACGCAGTAGAAAATTGCCTACTTACATTATCTTTAAAGATATTTTTTCGAAAAAAAAAAATCAACAATACAAGGTATAAATGGCATGCTTTCTTTGTAGTTCTATGGTCGATAAAATGACCTTGTCAGCAAATAAAATCTATCATTAAGTCAAATGCTGACTGACTTTTTTCATACTTATTGAATTGTCAACGGATTTTCCCGTTATTTCCCGGTCATGATAAGGAGCATATGACGATGGTGTCGATCGGTAGGGGATGCCCACTCCTCCATGGGTCCTGATCCCACCTCTGTTATTTTAGAATTCCGTATTTGCTCTGCTCCAAATTTTGTATTGTTTAATATACTTTTGAGCTTGAAAAAGACGCTAATTGTAATCTAACAACCAAGTTTCATAAAAAAAAAAACTGGATGACTTTTCTATCGTCCATTCCATTTTTCATTTCATGTAGCAATATAATCCTATCACCTGAATAAGATTTTTTGTCTCTGTACACCTGTACAAAGCTAGAGGTACTGTAAGCAATGAGGTCACTAAATGATTCCACGACTCCCATATATTTATAATGGTAAAGTCTAGGGCTGTGCAATATTACCGGTGTATCGGTATATTGCGGTATTATCCACCACGATAAATATTGCGATATGAAAATCAGATACCGGTATTTCACGATATTTATAAAAATATATAAAAACCTCCTGTATTGTAGAAACTGCTGAAATAATACTTGTAACTTCCCCAGGCCTTTTCAATCTAGTTAAAAAAAATACTTCGTCAGCTTTCAGAGGCAGATAGAGAGAGGAAGCTTTTCATTCACTGTCACAATTTTAAATATTTTACTTTAAAATAAAATTAATAGTTAATAAAAAGACTTTTATATAAAATCATTAAGAGAGAAAATATATAAAACATTTCTACAGAGTGTATACCATGTGTACTGTGGTTCTCAAAATCTCATGGAATCTACACGATCGACGATGAATGTTAAGTTCAAGATTTATATTACAAATTTATAAATGTCCCTCCATGTTTTCACTTAATACAGTGTTGCTTTTTATTATTTTTTAACAAGTTTCATGCCATTTTAAACACTTTCATGCTATACCAGGAGCATGTAATTTGTATATTTAAACAAAAGGCCAATGCAGTTCCTGATCGTATGTCATAATGTGAAATTAGGTCGGGTCAGACTAAAACACCAAACGCCCAAAATAGGTCACAATTTCTCTCTGGCGTTAATTTTATTCTGTGACCACATAAAATTTCCATATAGTATGTATTGTTTTAATCATTAAGTTACATTTTATACTATTTCAATAAAACAACCCCCCCCCCCAAAGTATAAAGAATATACTATGCATACTTTTTTTTTTCAATTTGAAAATACGTCAAATGAGTTCATTTTGTTTTAATATTTTACCTAGTATTTGAATAAAGTTATTACAATTATGTGTGCCATTAATGTCTTATCCCCTGCCCCCTTTAAAATTTATAGATAAATGCAAATAGTCTTTGAACTTGACAGGATTTTAAACTAAATTCTGCACAAATTTATTAATGATAAGTAATCTACAATATATCGCAATATATTGCAATATTCAATGTAAAATATTGCAATATATCGCAATATGGTTTTCACTCGCAATACCCAACTCTAGTAAAGTCCATGTTTTGCCCTTGAAGACCCGAAATAAGTGTCAGATCAAAAGTTAACAAGGAGGTGCACAATGGTATTATGTAATGAAGAATCTGTTAAAGCATCATTAAATTTTATCTAATGGTATGAAAAGAGCTGGGGATAAGAGATATCGTTCATTATTACAAGAATGGCCGTGTCCATGGTTTGCTTTGGGAAACCCAAAAATGGTTCTGATCCAAAAGTAAAATAGGAGGTTCACTTTGTAACAATGATTCTGTGAAAGTCTCATTAAATTTCATTCAGTGGTATAAGAGATGTTGCGGATATAAAATGGGTACCTCAAAGCGTAACAGAAGGACAGACATCCCGATCACTATTTACCCTCCCACTTTTCAAGCGGAGGGTATAATAAGCCATCCCTCAACTGGAATCTACCACTAGGTAAAAAATATCTGCTTAAAAAAACTGACTGACTTTTTTCATATTTATTATAATGTCATTAATATTGCAGTGAATATTCACGGATTTTGTAGTTTTTCCAGTTATGACAAGTATCACATGGCGGTTGTGACCAGTCGATAGGAGAAGATTTCTTTTCTCTATGGAACCTGATTCTACTTCTGATGTTTTTAGAGAGCCATGATTGCTCTGCTCACAGTATGTATTGCCTTGATATACTTTTAAGCTTGATTAATGTTCATTGTCTCAATATTTCATGTTTAGCATCACGTTTCAGCAATACTTCTATGCCTCCCTCCCACCCTAGCTTTGTTATGAACATTTTTTATTAATCTATTATGGTTGTATTTTTTACCCCAAAAAACGTAATACAATTTCCAACCTTACATAGGATTTTGAAATACTTTAGAGACTGAAGAATTTAGCAGTAAATATTTACAGATTGCAGATTAATACAAGGCTTCAGTTCTTTGTACAATTTCTCTTAAATTATTTTTTTAATGAAATGGAGTTATCTCTCATTAACCGGCCTTCCACTGAAGTAAACCATAACAAGGATGATATCAAGTATCCAGTGATACAACTAATATACCGACATACCTATCACTAAATTTTATTCATTCATTCATTCAGAAAAAAAACATGTTTCTACAATGTTCATTAGAACAACTAATAATAACTACTAATAACAAGCTTCATGATAAACGGGATGACTTTTCTTTTGTCAATTCCATTTGTTACGTAGCAATATCATCCTATCATCTAAATAGTTTTTGTCTCTCAGTTGATTCGATACGCAAGAGTATGCTCTGTATACGAACAGTTTCTTAAACGAAGCAAGCTATCGACAAACAAATTGATGTAACAAGAATATCAACACTCTCGTTTAAAATCACAATTTTGCAAGGAATCTTTGCTGATATGATGACCTTGTCAGCAAATACGTTTTTTATTAGCCAAATAGTGACTGACGTTTTTCATACTTATCGTTAGGTCATTAATGATACACTGAATATTTACGGATTTTTCGCTTTCCCAATCATGACAAGAAACACATTGCGGGTGTGACCAGTCGACAGGGGAAGATTTCTTCACCATAGCACCTAATTCGACTTCTAAAGATAGACATAAAATAAAAATATATCAAAAATTGTGTATGTCAGTATATTAATTTGTTATGTATCAGAACAAATAAGTTGCATATCAACATTAGTAAGTTACACATGTTAACATGACACATTCTAAGTTGCATGCCGACTAAATAAGTTGCATCTAGCACGTTAAACCAATTTTTATAATTGAAACTGTTAAAATTCTTATCTGATAATTTTTTTTCCTGCATTTAATCATAGTTTTATATGTTGACATACTTTTTTTTGTATGTTGACATAGTTTTCTTGCATGCCAACATACACCCTCTATCGTTTGAATATTTTTGTCTTGATTATTTTTTTAGTACACTGTACATAACATAAAAGAAAATGAAAATAAAACCCCCAGTTCAATTAAAATTTCAAATGCTAGAATAAATAATTATTTTAAAAAGTATCTAAATTTGAAATATGGGGACTGCGAGTAGTATTAAAGCTCAAAGTCCAATCTAAGAATACAGATCGGGAGTAGAACAAACAAGCACCTCTAACACATCACAGGTGGGGTCAACATTTCTTAAAGGGGATTGGGGCATGTACCAGTATACGTCCAAACTGAATTAATAGTAGCTAACAAATGTTTTGTTTTGTGAAAAACCAAATGTAAGAACATTTTTTTAAACGCTCAAATTCATATTGTTATATCATTTCAAATTCAGAAATCAATTGCAATGGACATGCAGCATTGAACGGGAGAAAAGTCGCCATCTTTGATATAAACAAATATGTAGACAAAATAAGATGACGTCACGAGCATGGAATAGCCACTCGGGAAAACTCCAAAACAACTATGAACATTGCAGGAAGCAGGAAATATGTTAAGAGAGTGAGCCGTGTATTCGAGTTTAAATGACAAAGACAGTTTTGAGTGATAAAGACTCTGTATCAACCGATGACCGCTTAAAGGAAACGGCGGATTATCAGTAAAAATCCGGTCAAAAGGCTAGAAATGTTTTAGAAAGTGATGGGCACTTTAATGTTGCGGAAATATGGTGAAAACAAAATTAAACGCAAAAAAGAACAACACTGTGAACTCTTATCAAGTTTTATTATTTTTTGTAGTCTGTTTTATTATTCTGATATTATGATACAAATGATAGGCTGCACATTTTTAAAAAATAAGACAATAAAAGTTTTAAAAATATATACAAAACAAGTAACAACAACAAAAAATACGACCCAGTATTACACAGAGACTTCATTAGCTGATGTCCTGATTCCGATTTCTTCAGAAGTTCTATATGGACTCTCCCGGTCAGTAAGCCACACTGGAGCTCCCTGAGACCCGTCAGACCGTCTGTATGACGTCACCGAACACGACCGCTTTCGTGAGGAACCCAAGGATCTAGAATTCATGCCATATGATAATTTGCAACAGACGGCACGAAAAAAAATTCTTCTCATTGAAAGAATCGTCTCCTTCCGCAGTAAAATGTAGATCCAAGGGTCTATGATGGAATTGGTTACTGCAAGCCTCAGAACAAGCAGTTCTGTTCCACAATCTCCATCCATCCAAAATACAGCATGAGCAAATATGACGCACTTAAATATATAAAATAAAGTTACAGTAGATTTATCCGTAATTTTATTCAATGTTTTTTCTTCTTTGATAACAAAAATTATTGAACATTATCTTCATGTTATAATACATCATCACAATAAACACATGCACAGCTTCTCTCTTTCTTTTCTATATTATTATTATTTTTTAAAAATCAGAAATGTTTTATAATACTGAGGTCTGATATTAGGAATGGATGGATTGCTGTTGATATAAGTCTTTATAAAAGGTGTGTCAATTGCCATTTCTTATTGTTGTGTTATGATACCAAATGTTTTGGAGTTTTGTATACTTATATAAGATTCAACAGCTCTGACGCAGGAAAGTCTCCTATACATGATTCATCATTTAAGTCCTACAGATGAACAATTAGTTGTACTCAAATCAATGGACTAGTGATGGCTTAACCCATCCCAAAATTTGCACTTAAAACTAAATCATTAATTGAAATTCAGTACGCTTGCTTATGAATCGCATTTAAAAAGAGTATTGCACATAAGTACCGGGTATATGATTTTAGAGTGTTTTTTTATATTTCGACAGTCTTTCTCCTATATAAAATTAAACCGTTAGATGTAAATAATTCTCTAGAAATCGCTTTGAATAGATATTTTCTGTTTTGCCTTGCGTAAATCAAAGAAAGCTTACAATTCTCTTATACCTTATATAGAATATCCATTACCTTATAGATTTCACTTATGTTTAGTTGTATCGATATAGCTAAAAGGTATATCATAGAGGGAGAGCAAGATTCTAGTTTTCTTCCACCAGAACTACATAGACTATATATTTCCTTCGGCTACGCCTCGGGAGATATTCCTGATCTCAGGGACCTAGAATTCTTCTAACTCCCTTAATAAGATTATATACTTAGCTGATTCAGTCGATCTAAATGTATTTGCGCATACATGTACTTGACAACCGAATATTGGCAACCTTTTCTACAGGCTTTCTTAGTTACTCTTTAGTCTTCTCTTTTGTTTTAAAACAGTCAAAGGTTTGAATAAAATGGTGGCCTTAGAATCTCTTAGGTTTAAGAAAACGTTTCATATTTCATTCATTGAAATACTTTGTTATAAGCTTGTATATATTGTTCGTAAAATATAGCTGGTTTATAGAAAAATATATTATAGAAATGAAAAAGCATCTCTAATTTAAAATCTATCGATGAATCTAGAGTGAACACGTGGATGAAACTGTATGCATCTTTTTAATTTATAAATCACATACTAGTATATGATTTTCAGTGACCGGATTCATTTTAAAAAAAATATGTAAGTTAAGGATTTTAAGATATACTGTATACATGTCATCATAGATGCATCATTTGTATGAGAAAACCATTAATAATGGTGTGTTTATGTACATATTAAAATAAAAACAATTACTGTATACTTACAATCAACGGCGTCCATAATGTTGCAAAAACCACTACTATAGTGAGCAAAAATACGATGTTGAAGACGTCTCTTTTACTATCGTTATTCTGCACTTTGCTTCTCTTTTGTAAAAATCGTCTACGAAAAATAGTAATCACTACTATACTATTCAAGGATACAATTGTTACTATGATAATAAGTCCAAGGAAGGAATAGAGAAATGAATTAGCCCTGTTGAGTATTGCAGTGCTGCTGTTCCCTTGAACTTTACTGAAGTCGATGAAACACCAAGACCTTGGGTAGAAACTGTGACTATCACCGAGTCCAAACAGGTGAAGACTACATACCACGGCTGATGAGATCCAAGTAACCCCCAACATAATGTTTACACGTCTATATTTTGTGTTCGTGTCATAAAAAATTGGATACATTATGGCAAGGAATCGGTCTATAGACATACTACAAATTATCATAGCGGATGCTAGGAGCGTGAAAGTGTATATAAAGGAACTGTAGTCACACAGGGCTGTTGGCATCTGAAAACTTCGAACAGCGTACCTTATCATGACGGTAGGGTAAACTAGCAAAATTCCTCCGCCGTCTGTAAGAGCCAGAGCAGCCACCAACCGATAAAATGGACGCCATTTGTGAGTCTTTGCAGAGAGTTTAAGAACCAGCAAAGCTATTCCATTACCAATAACTCCGATAGCGAATTGCATTGCGGGTGGAACAGCTGATTCTTCGTTACGGTAAGTAGCGTCTGAGGTATAACAAGTTGTTGTATTTCCCATTTTTCTGTCAGTTTAAATTTACTTCCGGTATTCTTTAATTTTTGAAACCTCTTCTGTAGAATATCTTTTTTAAAATTTTTAACAGGTATCATCATATCAACATGCGTTGTGTGCAGTGGTTTTATCTTTATATTGATAAAATAATGTCTATCAGTTATTTGAGTTGTATGATTAGATAGCTAAGTGAAGTATCAACATGTAGCTTATCCTTATACTAGTGCTAACTTTTAAATTCTATCACGATGTGATAGTAAAATATGTCAATCAGTTTTGATTTCTTTGCCTCATGAAGGGTATTAAAGATTTTATTGGCTTCTTGAAAAACAAATTATTAATAAAAAGTTTCATTGTCATTAAGAAATATTTTTATCCATATCCTTTGATAAATGTAAGGGTGTAAAATAAAAAAAAAATGGTGCATTTTATTCAAGAATCTTAAATTCATCAATCTTGAAAGTTATCATTTATAAGCAACCCAATTCTCTAGTGGTAGGGCGCTAACTTTGTGATCTAAGGCCCGGGTTCGATTCTCGTTCGTTGCGCCGCATCAAACCTAAGAATGATGTAAATATAGGAAATGACGTTTCTTTTGCCAATCACCGATACTACAATTAATAGTCACGTGTCTTTTGGACGAGACCTCAAAAACCGACGTCCATGTCAATAATTTTTCTCCCATATGGAGACGCCACCACTTGCCGATGGATAAGCTAAATTTTTGTCCCATGCTTGGTACTCAGGGCTATTGAACAATGAGAGATCTTTTTCGTCCCAGCACCTAATGCGACACAGGACCTAGGTTTATACAGTCTCATCCGAAGGACATGTCTCTACGTCCGACAGTGGAATTTGAACCCGCGATGTTAGCATCGACGCCTTACTTCGCGACTCTAGAGCAGATGCTCTAACCACTGCACCATGCAGGCGACATTAATATGAATGATAAAATTATTTGAATGGAAAAAGTTTTGAAAGCGACGTTAAACAACATACAATCAATCCATTGATCAATTAACTTTTTTTTTATCAATCTGATCATGTTTGACATTAAACCTTCTAGAAAAAAGCATTACAAAATTATGAAAACACAATGTAAAAAGGAATAATCGGGTTTGAGAAATTCATACAAATTTAATTTTTAAAAATTATAAATCACGATCATAAAGCAATGCTGGTTATTTCCCGATCATGAAAAGGAGAATAGGGCGGGTGTGAACGGTCAGCAGGAGATACTCCCTCCTCCATGACACTTGATTCGGGCCAACCTCTGGTGGTTTGGACGTCCGTATTTGCTCTGCTCCAATTTTGTATTGTCTAATGGACTTTTGAGCTTTAATATTGTTCGTAGTATCCATATATTTCATGAAACAGACAGTTTTTTTTAATGGCAAATCAATTAGTGTGTTTGAAATGAAATTAAATAGAATAATAATTTCTTATCTTAATACTAATGACGATATGGGCTATGCGGACAATAAATCTTTTCTTTTGTTTTATAAATTATGATATTATTGCAATGAACGATGGCAACGAGTGAAAACCCTCTTGATAATAAGTATTATTCAGAGTTGACGGAAATAAACATAGACATTTTTTTTTAAAATCTACAACTTGATGAATCAGCTTTTGTCTATCAGCTGTTTCACATTAAGAAACAAAGGACATTTCAACAGAGACTTTATTTTAAACAAAAATAAAATAAAAACTATCGATAATACAACGCAAACAAATTAAAAAAACATTAACAACAAAATTGATACAGTTTGAAATAATCATTCACTTTCCAAATTTCTTTTAGGTACAAAACAACACTTTTACGTCATTAGTTTTGTTGCATCAGAATGTCTTCTAGGGAGTTATTTTGACGCGGTCTTTTTTAAACACCTTGATTTTTTTTCTACAGCAGTAATTGTGAAGCGGTAATCAGTTGGATGGTCTTCTGCACTAGTTACATCCTGACTTTTTCTCCAGCGCTTATTGTGACGTGGTCATCTGTCGAGATGGTTTTGTCCAGACTCTTACTTTGACTATAACTTGGAGCAGGGTTAGATTCAGGACCGCTAGTTTCTGTTGCCAGATCCAGTTTGTCACAGTAACCTCTGCAGTGCCTCTGTAGAGCCCGCAATGTCTCTTTTCTGAGAAGTATATAGATCCAGGGATCTATGATAGAGTTGTTCACAGCGAATCTTAGCACCAAGAGTTCTCTGGCGCCATTACCCTCAATCCATCTCCCAGCATGCCCCAGAATGGTAAACTAGACATGGAAAAAATCAATCGTAAGATTTTTTGTTAATTAATTATTCACAACATATTTTCTTGATCGGTTATTGAGATTTAAAAAAAAGATTGGAAATCTAAATGAATTTCAGAATAATCATTGTATTATTAGCCCGTGCATATATACAAAATAAAAATAGACAAAAAATCAACCAGACATTTGTTTTAACGAAGCCTCACTGCATATAAATTAATATTTTCTTGAAATGAATGACAACTGAACTTCACGCTTACCATAAGAGGTGTCCAACAAACACCAAAGACTGTCACAATTATCAGAAGGAAAATGACAATGAAAATATCATTTTTCCTCCTTCTCTTTGCGGTAACTTTAATGTTTGATTTCATCCCTCGACAAACAGAGACGATAACAATAAAGTTTAATGAGATGGTCAATGCCAGGATAGCTAATCCAAACAGAGAGTATATGTAAGAGTTAGCTCTATCCAGTGTAGTGGTTCCAACAAAGTTAAGAAAACACCAGGATCCAGGATAATAATTGAAACTGGATCCTAGTCCCATCAGCTGAAGACACGAAATAAATGTTCCGGTGATCCAAATAGATATCAGCATTATGTTTGTCCGCCGCTCTTTGCCTTCTGTGTTGTAAATAAAGGGATACAAAATCGCCATGAAACGATCAACAGACATAGCACAAACGATCATTGCCGACGATATTAATGTAAATGTGTAAATAAAAGAACTGTAGTTGCAAAGATGTACGGGAAAGTCATAGGTAAAGTCTGTCGCATATCTAACCATAACTGTGGGGTAAACTAGAAGTATTCCTCCACCATCTGTCAAAGCAAGACCCCCAACTAGTCTGTAAAACGGTCTCCATTTGTGTGACTTTGCTGATTTTACTAAAACGACTAGCGCAATTAGATTTCCAATCACACCTAGCCCAAACTGCATAGCAGGAGGAACGGCCGATTCCCAGACCTTGGTTTTCGTGGCGTTGGAGACAGTAGAGTTGCGCTCTCCTTCATCCATCCTGACGACCAAGCCTCATATGAGCGGTAGCCCTTATTTTGTTATTTTATATAGTGTCGATGAGCTCTCTCCTCTCACTTCCTTGTTTTCTTAAATAACCTCTAACCACCAATTGGAAACAAGTCTCTTAATACGTAAATTGCCACTCAAGAATACTGGGTCAGAGGGGAGGGGGACCTACGGCTCATTGAGAGGAATAAGTCTTATTTAGCTATAGATTTTTTTTTTTACAATTAAATGATTTACTTTTTAATATCATTTGATTTTGTCTTGCGTTGATGTAGAAAAACTTCCCCGTTATCTACAAATTTTATTTTATATTTAAACTTTTCCTATTTTATCAAACGAGGATTTAATGTTTATATTAATATACATAAACTTTTATTCCATCTGCATGTAGTTAATGACATTTTTTAAAGACATGAAACCGATCCTTTATGTTTTTGTTTAATAATAAAACTGTTTTTCTATTCTAATTTATAAGGGTGGTATGTGATCTTAATTGACACATATTTTTTTTATATTTTTAACTGTATGTTTAACAAGTAACAATCTGTTTAGACAAATAGAAAAAAGGAACGTTTATTAATAAGCCATTTTCACTCTATTTTTTTCAAATTCATAATAGATGAAAAACTTGTTGGGACCATGTGCCTAGGAGGAGTCAGAATTCCCTGTTGACTATTCATACCCACCATGAGTCCTATGTTTCGATCAATCCATAGTCATTATAAAAGTTCATTATAAAAAAAAAATCAGCAAAAATACGATCCATTGATAGGATATGTTTGCTAATAAGATCACAAAACTACCATAGACTTTAAGAAGTGCTGAAAAAATAAGTATTAAACAATTTAACAGAATTATATAAATTTAGTTTGCAGAAGCCCAAATATGATTTTTGGCAAATGTTCAAATATTAGAGAGGAAACATTCATACAGAATAAACATAAACAGTTAAATTCATTAAGGGATCTACTTTACGCAAGTTTTCTTTCTACTTGAGATGAAGTGCAAGTAGTTAAAAAAGATCGAATTGTTCCTGATTTTTTTTCTCGCAATGTTAACTTTACTCGTAATTCTTACTAGAATTACAAAAGTTTCCAAAAAGACATTTGATCAACCATTTGATTCACTCCTCCATGACACCTGATCCCACCTCTGATGTTTTAGAGGTCCGTGTTTGCTCAGCTCCTATTTTGTATTGTTTTATGGACTTTGATATTGAATATTGTTCGCCATCTCCATATCCTTCATCAATAAAAAAAAATAACTTGATTTCACTAATAACACATTCAGTTGAATTAAAACGAAAATAGTTTATAGTTTCTTATATGTAGCTGTATCCAAAAACTTTAATGCACATGAAAAGTTTGTAAATTGTGTTAATAGTGTCATCTGAACTTTGCCATTTTAAAAATTTATCTATTTCCCGCTTCTTCTTTGAATTAATTGGGGAATTGTCTAATCCTTGTCTTGTATTAAAGAGCTGATCTGCCAGGACCGATGAGGATTTCCTCTAAGGATAACAAAATGTCGGAACTTGTGTACCTATAATATGAATAGTTTTAATTTCCTATAGGACTGTGTGTTTGCAGATAAAACATTTTTACTTTAAAATAAAACTGCAATTTTTCGCCTCTGACAAGATACCTACCATTATGTAGTAAAAGCAAAATCGAATCAGTCATGGTAAAACATTCTTTTGATAATTAAACTATTATTTCCTCTCTAAAAAAAATAATGTGTCCTATAATCTATAGAAAGTTTAATGAGTTTGTTTCTTTTAGGCAAAAAAAAAATAATAACCTCAAAAAAAAAAAAATAAATAAAAAAATAAATAAATAAATAAATAAAAAAAAATAAAAATAAGAACAAAACAAAGAAACAAACAAAAACAAACAAACAAACAAACCATGAAAATTTGCCAGATATTCTACTTCTTTAAAAAATATATACATTAATTAAAAAATAGACATTACTTTTGAGAAACACAAATCAGTATAGCTAGGAAGAGCACCAACAAATCATTTCTAGCCAGGATATACTTTACATTTGTGAAAAGTGAATTAATATAAAATTAACGTGTTTGATATCTAATTTGTTTAAAATTAAAAAGCATATTAGATAACCTCTGCTCTGTTTCGCTTTCCTAATTATTTTGCGAGGAAAAACTTTAATTATTTAAATCAATTAAATTGATACAGATTTCAATGCAATACCTTTAAATAGATTTTACCTAATTACCGGTATTCCATTTTAATAAAACTGGAGAGAATTTAGCATAGCAATAGGGTTACTTTAAATATTATAAATCTTTAACGCAGAAATATTCGATAGACTCGAAGCAAAATCTTAAAGTATATATATGAAAACGTGTTAAATATTATGGCCATTTTGAAGAAATCTTGTGTTTCTAAGTCTACCTTCCCTATTGTTCGATATAACTTTATATGTCATCTGTAGAATAAACATTTGAAAGATAAATCATTATATTTAACAATGAGACTGAGCATTGTAAAATGCAATGTGAAAAGGGTTTATCAAAATAGAATATTGAAATTCTTCCCGAATGTAGAATCTATATTATAAATGAATATGTACATGTACGCAGGCAACTTTTACTGCTATTGACCTGTGAATTTTTTGTTTGTTTTTCTCGTTTCAATAAGATTACTTTTGTTATCATATGATCCCAAATTAAATCAAGTTGATGAATTTAGGAAGAAAATGTTTTGGAAAAATACTAAAGATAACCAACAACTTCATTATTTAATTTAAAGTTTTTCCCGGTACAATTCAAAACTGAATTAATTTCAAATCCAGTATTATCCTGTATGCAAAATTTTCTATTACTCATTTATTGAAACATTAAATATTGACAACAATCACAGAGCAGAGAATAAAGTTAACCATAGAAAATCAATATCTGATACCCGCTTTATTATTCAACTTATAAAACAAACCAAGGCTAAATTTTTTTTTATCTGTTTGTTGTTTTTCTGTAATTTAAGACCAAAAGAATGATTAGCTTTCCAAATAATCTTTGTATCTATGAAACATATTGAGTATTCAAGATCAAAGGTCCATAAAACAATACAAAATAGGAGCAGATCAAACACGGACCTCCGAAACATCAGAGATGGGATCAGGTGCCATGGAGGAGTGAGCATCCCCTGCTTTATGTAAAAGATGTAAACAATAACCAGTGATCAAGGTCGTAAATCTCGGAAGCAAAACGAATCGTAAAGACGACAAAAAAACGGACCATAAAAAATTCCAGAGGTGGTATCAGGTGGCTAGGGGGAGTAACCCCTGTCGACCGCTGTCACACCCACGGACTGATCAGATTGAGAAGTATTTTGTTATCAAATTTACGATAAATCCAATGGCATATTATATGGTCTTAAGCATGGCCATCAAAACACGATAAAAATATAGGCTGTACATGTATTTACAAACGTGGTTCTTACACCGACCGTTTGTCGGGAGAATTTGTGAGAAGCTGTCTTGAAAAGAAATTGTTGAAATCTTTTTGGCATCATTTGAACATCGATTGAAACTTGCCTGAATTTAAAAATTCAGAGCACACCCTTTCTACATTGAATCAACTGGAGACATAAGGACTAGATGCAGGTGTATGTGTTTTGGTATATTTCTCAGTAAAAAGGAAAGTGAGCAATTTTAAAGCTGAAATTATCAACAGTTTCGTAATTTCTATGGTCGATACAATGACCTTTTCAGCAAATACAATTTATCATTGAGTCAAGTGATGACTGACGTTTTTCATACTAATGGTTAGTCCATTATTTATACACTAAAATGATGACGGATTTTTCCGTTATTTCCCGATCGTGACAAGGAGCACACGGTGGGGATGCTTACTCCTCCATGGCACCTGATCCCACGTCTGATGGTTTGGAGGTCCGTGTTTGCTTTACTACTATTTTGTATCGCTTTATGGACTTTTGACCTTTAATACTCTTCGGTGTCTCCATACATTTCATTATTTCAAGTTCACTGGTCGATATCAAGCAACGTATAGAAGAAAGTAACCTTGTTAAAATATAGTAGTCACTGATATCTTTGAATGATGAGTTGAATGGCAAAGTAAAAACTAAAGTTAAAAACTAAAAGTTTAGACTAGATTCTGCCTCAAAGCAATATATTGAAAAGGTCGGCAAATACAGGAGCACATTGTGTGTCGATCTAATTTCCAAGCGGAGGTTCAAAGATCACAAACAGTCTTTAGCTTATCAAAGTCAAAACTTCAATAATAATTCAACGATGTTTGTTATTGAATTACATGTATGTCTCTTTTCGATACATATTGTTGAAATAAAACATTAAAAATAGTAAATATCGAAAGTGTTTGGTCTCTTGATTTTGAGATTCATTTTAAAAAATGGGAGCAAATGTGAATATTTGACAAAAAAGATAAGATAAAAAGTGAAATGAAGAAAAAGTGTGTATCTCCTATCGCTAAAACAAACTTTGTAAACCTCGTGATACACGTCAATCAGTATAGGACAGTTTAAAAAGCTTTACAGGTGAACAAGGTCGTGATAAAAAAAGTTAGCTTTGATAGAAAACGATTTATTTTCAAGTTTGCTAAGCGTTTATTTGATTTAGATAATGAAAACAATCAGTGAGTTAGAAATTTTAAATTGATACGCAAAAAAGTTAATTTACGCATAACTTAAGGATAGTAGCCCTGGAGCGAATTGATGGAAAAAACAATTTTCATATAAAGGCTGGTTAGGTTTGGGGGGGGGGTGTTAAAATCGATGTAAATAAAGACAGGTAGAGGGGCAATTACTAAGATAAAATAAAGTTATAAGCTGATCCTTACGTCAAGGGTTCAAATCCCACAGACAGGCGTGGTGACCTGTTTTTCGGATGTGATCGTAAAAACCGAGGTCCTTTACGCGTCGCAAGGGATTCTGGTACAAAGAAAGTCCCTCACTACCCAAAGGCCTTGAATGCTAAGTACTAATTTTCAGCCCCCCCAACCAGTAAGTGGATTGGGGCCTTAGTA